AAAGGTCTTTGAGAAGTGTGAATTTCGAATTGTAGAATTGCAGAGGCAGAGATTGATTCAAGTGAGAGTGAGAGAGGGATGATCGGAGAGAATTTAAGTGAATTTATATAAAATTTGTTAAAAATCGAATAGTCGTGAATGTAAGCTATGATTCACGGGAGATTAGAATCATGGTCAACATGTAGAATCTATTAATTTGGTAAAATTGACAATCATATATATATATATATACTAAAACCTGTTCATGCGCGATGCCGCATGAATATTTTATAATGTAATGCAACAATAAATATTTTGTTAGAAATTTAATATAAGCAATAGGAAACATAAATAGAATTTAAGAATATATAATAATAAAAAAATTGTTAAGTAAGTACATATTATTGATATTCAATAAATTGAAAATATTACCGAGTAGACATCAGGTTTTTAATATTGCAATGATTGAGACTGCATCATCGGCTATAAAAAGATTAAGCTGCAAATGACAAATAAGACAATAATAATAATGGTTATTGAGTACATACATAAAATTACCCATTATTGTTCCATTTTTTGGGAATGTGTCGTACACACATAATAGTTAGACTCAAATAATGCAGCAGATTGATCTTTGTTCATTTTATAACTAAAAATGCATAACATTTGGTTCCTCTACACTAACTTTCTATATATTGGCTGAAAACTGAGCACAACAAATCACGTATTTAATGTAGATGAAATTCGTATAACAACATTAAACATCATTGATTCCTAAGTTAAAAAAATCAAATTTTCCTGGTGTAAAAGACAATATTGAAATTGAGCTATAACTATTACATTAAACTGAATAAATAAACAAACAAATAAATGGATACTACTTAAGGAATAAATTTGCACTTTTAGTTTCACGAGTTTTCCTTTCTATTCAATCTAGTAAGTTGGCTTAATAATGGACAAAACTTTGGGTAATGCTAGATTTTTAGATTTTTTTTGTTTTGTATTTTTATTTTTATTTCTGAAAAACCCTCTTTTGTCAAGAACTTGTAATAATTATATATATTTGTTTGTCCATCTTCCTCTAGCTCTTCCTACATAACCATAAATAAATAAATAAAATGTTAACAATGTTTGTTTGTTTGTAATTTTCTTTTTCCATTGTGATGTCAATTTATACTTAAAATACAATAATAATAAAAAAAAGAACACCACTTTAGCGCAGGTCCGTGCCAAAATAAAACAAGAAAAACTTTGGCCATTTTCCAAAGCTAATAAAATCAAATTATTATCTATGAAGATGCACATGTCATTAATTTTATCAGAAGTCAATTCAATGCACATCGCTCCATTCTTCTGAAGTGAATAAAACACATTCAACTCCAAATCCTAATACTATAAAGAAGTTCATAAGCAAATATTTAAATTATTTCCACACTCTTCTATAGGCAACAAAGGAAAAGACTTATAAGTTGTGGATAACCACAAACAAAAACCATTAAATAAGAAAATATACAAAGAACCTATAATAACAAAGCAATAGTTATAAATTTAGTTAGATTAGTAATAGACATCATTTGGAAAATTATACTCTCCAAAGTAACCAAAACTATATTAGGCATCATTAGAAAATGATGACTTTTGCAATAGACTTTACAAATCTACCACATTCAATTGAATGAGATAATTAAACATGAAAAATAAGAGCTAAAACACTAAGATAATTAAACATGAAAAATAAGAGCTAAAACACTAAGCACAATTGCTTGATTTATTAACAAGTGTTAAACCTTCATTCATTAACTTGGATGAGAAAATAAAATAAAAACTTGGATGAAAAAATTTGTTGAGTGCAAAACACAAACAACAATAGTAAAGCAATAAAAAATGGAAATATAAAAAAATTCTAACCGTCAAAATATCTAAAATCCTAACAATGTGTTGATAAGTAGTGATTAATTTGCATTGCACAGAGTTTAGTGTCTTATGCCACTCAATGTTCAGGTACTAGGATCCTATACCTACAAAAGAATGGGAAAAAATCTATTTAAAAGCTTGAAGTCACATAGAATATGACCTAAATACAAAGAAAATCTTTTTTTTACATAAAGCTAATAAAATCACATGTTATCTTTCACTCAAAAAGGATTAGAGTCACAAATTAGAATCTACAGATGAATACAGTTGTAATAAATTTGATGATGCATACCTCAATTGTCTAAAAAGCAAAGACACAAAACAAAAACGCAATTTTCAAAAACTATTTTCAGATTCATCTTCAAACCACAATACCATATATTCTAAAACTTTATGATGTTGCCCTTGAAATCTTGATACACTAATATATCTTTTACAAATGTACAAAATGAAATGGATAGTTCTTCAAAACAATCCATTGCAACAATTGCAAATTATAGATTCCAATGGAGATTTAATATGACATTGGGTATTGCCACTTTCTCATTAAAGATAAGAAGTCATGTGGACTTCCACTTATATATATTAGTGTTTATCGTAGACTATATTATACTGTTGTATAATTACTGTATTTGAATTGAGAAAATTTGTGAAGGAATAAAAATTTCTAAAAATTATTATATGACTTTAAGATTAAAACGTGAAACAAATGATGCATAATAAAATAGAGATTAAGAAAATGAAAAGCATGAAAGGAATGACGACTCAACAAATTACATCTATAAAAGTAAGGACTAATGATCTCTTCCGTTTAAGCACTTTTGTCAAAATTCAAGTTTCTTATTTTTATCTCACTGACTATAAGTACTCATATTTAGATATTTCATTATAACATATAGGAAAATTTTAAATCCGAATAATATATTTATTATGATGTCACTATTTTTGAGCCTGACAAATTAAAATTTGAAATCTTGCAAAGGAGTAAAATTGAGAGACTGAAAATATGATACAGAGAAGATACAATTTTTTTAAAATTTTGATGGCATATGCAACTTATGCCCAGCCACTTCAAAATTTACAAAAAATATTTAAAAACATGCATAATTTGGAATATAGAAATCATAATACAATGAAATGAAAAACTGGAGAATCATGAAAGTTTGTAGATAGATAAGTTATGAATCAATTTGAATTTAATGGCAACGAAAAGTTGAGGATTGAGATAAATAGATACATGTGCATCAGTATAAACAACGAGCTCTAACTTTAAAAGCTTTATAATATTATGGAAGCCACAAGGCAAGATAATAACTCAACTGCATAAGTGAAAAATAATAAGATTCTTGTGATGTGTAACTGAACTAAGAAGCAAAAAATAAAAATACAATTGATAGGATTTGCACCACAAATTGGAGAAAATAAACAAGTCACTTAGCCCCATTATTTATCAAATTGTATCTAACATGAACACAACAGATTTTTTACAACCCAACAAAGATTAAATGAAATGAGAAACAATAAATCTGTGCTACAAGCCAATTGAGCACTTAAAATTAGTACGACACTCACACTCAAACTGAGGTGTAAGAAGTTTCAGATTTCCCATACAGTTCTACCCCAGAGCTGTATCTTCACATTCTTGTGAATCAATTTACTAGAACAATGGAGAATGAGGCATTTTACCCTTGACACATCTTTCCCCAATCACATTGTTGAGATTATTATAGCGATCCAATTGACACTACAAAAACTGATTAGCCTATTTAAAAAAACGTCATTTCAGGGAATGTTCTCTATTCGATCAACTTAAATTTTTTATTTAATTTAATAAATCACTTTCAATTTAATCAGCCGTCAAATAAAAAATTTGAATCACAATAGCCGTGTTCATCGATGATCTTTTTGTTTACACAAAAAAATATTATAAAAAAAAATACTCATTTCGTCCGGCTCTAGGGCTTATTTACCATTTTAGATCGCACTTAAGATTAAAAATATCTTTATATTTCTTCCTTTTTCATATAATAATCAATATTCAAATATCAACAAGCAAAAAATTATAAATCGCTTGATGACACTAGTACAATATATATACTCATACAATATACTATAATATATAGTTATCTATTAATAAAAAAAATCAATAATTAAATATACAGTATTATTTTTTATATTAATTTAATTCACATTTTTCCATACTTAATATAAAAATACATATAAAATAATATACAAAAATGAACACACTCAATTATTTATTTTATTCTTTCACAACTCTCTTTCAAAGACTGTGATAATAATATTCCATTTGTCATAGACTTTACATTTTTAATAAATTTATTTATTATAAATATACTTAAGGAATATTAATTATTTAATTAAATTATTAATATTTTAAGATTCACTATAAAAAATTTATTTCTATCCCTCCTTTAAATAAATAAATATTTTTATATATATCTAAAATATAGTTACTTATAAATAAATATATATTATTATATAAAATTTTATTATTCACAAAGTGATATGTATTATATATTTTATTAAAGATATAATACTAAAAATATTTAAATATATATTTTAAATATTTTTTAATTATATATATTAATTTATATTAAAATACCAACAATATTATTTATATAAAAAATAATAAAATAATAATATACATATTATTAATAACTTACTAATTTATAATAATTGTGTTATTAGCTAAAGGAACCATAACCTATTACTAATGCCCCATCCCACTTAAATTATTCATTTTAGGATAGACACAAAGTTTTAGGTAATGAGTAATTAGTAAGTAATTAAGATATGTATCAAAAATAATTATAAATTATAAATTAAGATTAAGATGATTAAATATTTTAATAAAAATAAAAAAATTATAAATTATGAATTTTAAAATGTAATTAAATTATATAAATATATTTTTTAAAAAAAAAATAAAAAATATGTAAGAATGACAAAAATATAAAAATAGTTGACAAATTAAATAAATATAGTGGAGAATTATCATTTATTTATTTTTTTATTTTATTTTGCCTTCAATGTCCCAACTTCCTTCCACAAACAGGATCGGCATTAATAAGTTGTTAGACGTACCTAACCTCAAAAACTCGGCAACAGAAGAATACCAACTCCCAATGAAACCAGAGTCAGATTCCATTTTCCCATTTCCAATTTCCCATTTCCGACTCCAAAATACATACAGTATCGTATCCTGCATATCCACCAAATCCCTTCCTTTTCGTCGATCACTCCACTTGCAATCACCCAATTTTGCACAGGATCACATTCCCGCAGAGGTACTACATCTTGTACTTGTAGAGATCTTCACCAACAAAAAAGGTTGGCTGTAGATTTTGAATTGATCCAGTAATATTAATATAATCTTCCCCAACAAATGAGGGAGTAGCTTTGTTGTAGTATGTTGTGTGTTGAACTAATTTCACAGTTGCGGATTGATAAATGTTTGCTGCCTGGTTTTGTTTATCTCAACTACTTTTGGGAATTGCAATCGGTTATACTCGATGTTTTCTGTGATCAATTGATCCTATTATCTAACTTTACGAATTCGTGGCAGAATTTGTTGAATGGCGGCTCAATGCCCTAATTTGATGCTACCGACGGAGGTCAGCCTTCCTGTAACGAGGTGCGCAGTTTCATGGCGGACGCAGGTTGAGCGCGGTTCCTGTGTTCCTCAAAGGAGAATTAAGCTCCAAATTTCTGCGCTGGCGGGTGGTGATGGCGGTAGTGGTAAGAAAGCAGCAACCCCAAATTCGAATTATGTGGTACCTCTGGATATGTCGTCTAGCATCACTCGGCCCCTCAATGAGATTCTCCGTGACCTCAATAAAAGGATCCCTGATAACATAATCAAGACATCTAATGATAATTCAACATTCATCCCTTGGTAATGGAGTGAGAAAATTACAAGTTGTGTTTGTGTTATTTTGTAGCATTTTGCTTGCCTTTTGTCATTTTGTGCTTTCGCTGATCGGATTATGGTTTTATGGCTGCACTTAGGTACCATGCAAACCGAATGTTGAGCTTTTATGCCCCAGGTGACATGCTTTCGATCTTATTTATAATTTAAGTAGCTTGAAAATAATTAGTGATTATGGGTGAAATTGTGTGGGAACTAGTGGATCCTCGATTTTTTCTGATGATGCCAGAATACAGAGCATGAAAAATGTTATACCAATTTTTGTTTTTCACCTAAATTATTTAGTAGGCTATTAATGAGTGAGATTGACAGTTTGGCGTTAGTCATTAGGGTTTGTAATTGCTTTTCTTGTTTGTTTTTTATTATTGTTTAAATCTTCTTAGAGTATGTGTTGTATATAGTTGTTGTTTTTCTGTTTCATTGAAGTGTTGGTGTGCCATTTTCTTTGCTTTGTATTGTTCTGTATAATGGTTACACTAACATGGTCATGGCTGTATCTTTCAAGTTTAAAAAAGAAATTTATTTTAAATGCAACCTGTTTCTCTTTTTACCTTTTTATTTTTATTACGTTTGTGTATATGTATATAAATATATATATATGTATAAAGAGCTGGAGCGTGCTTGGTTGTTCTGCATCTGTTCTTGCCAATGAAGAGATTCATGGTTTATAATAATTTTTTATTTGTTATGTTTGGAAACAAAAGAAGTTGTAGTTTTATGCTTAGGCCCAAATGTGTGCTTTTCATCAATCAAATATTTCTGAGCTTGACATGATAAATTCACCACAATTTGATAGTGTATAGTTTATACTAAATAAACCTGTTTTTTGAAGCTAGTTGTCGAAAACAAAAGTTTTCATTGTGTTCTTTCTGGAAATCTAAATCACTATTCCTTGTTGGGGATGTCATTGGAACTAACAAACCTTCTATTTTAGGCTGGTGCGGGGAAATTCGCGATGTTATCTTTTCTGAGAATGGAAGTGTGACAGTGGTCTATCGCGTAACAGTTCGGGGATCGGATGGAGAGGTATGTGTCTGTTTATCACAGTGAGCATCAACGCACACATGTAAAAGCCTTTGTATCACATATATTATTTCATTTTGAAAATCCATCAAAACATGAGTTTATTAGTTTAATAGGAAATTAGGTTTAGTTTATACTTTTATTAGTTTAATAGGAAATTAGGTTTAGTTTATACTTTATAATAACAAGACACAAACTTTCAATTTATGCTCAGCCATTTACATTATTGATCTACTTGGAATGAAGTCAGAAGTTTGTTTTACTTGTAAAAAAGCTCTGTTCCTTTATATTGACATTTGAATTTGCACGGCTGACATTGAGTTGTCGAACTGCTGAAGCAGAAGAATTACCGAATTCTCTAGTAGTTTCTCTCGGTTTCACTAGCATCTTTGCAGATCTGGGGAGTTATCCCTTTGCTATGATTTAGTTATAGATCAGTTCTTTTTTATAGCCAGATTTTTGCATTATTTGATCTATCTTATCCTCTCATAAGGACACATGTTTGATCTATCCTAACGTATTAAGTGCTTAGAAACTGATTACGAGATTTGAACTCAGGACCTTTTTGTGAATGTGATACCCTGTCAATCTCTTAGGAGTTACTACATGAGTTTGAGCTATGCTGATTGAATGACCTCAGTTATCAATAAATTTGAAATTTATATACATTAAATCTGCATAAAAGCTGGACTATGAGCTTTTTGGAAAGAAATGGCACCTATGTTGTCCTTACTCATAAGTTCAACAAGGCAGTGTCTAAGTCAGTCATTGCAACCCTACTAGTACATTAATGCGAAACCTCAACCCTTTTATAAAGCATTAATTACCTACTCTTTCATGCCTTTCGTATGGCTGAAATATAGAGAATACTTTGTCCCCATTAAGGACAGAACATGTGAGATGGAGGACAATAATTTGGTGGAATGCTACCAGACCACATGGATAATCTTCTCTTTCAATGTTGTTGATTGGTGCATTCATATTTAATAACTGTTGCTGTGTCTGGGACCAATTGAATTCGAAGCATGCCGGGATTTTCAGATTTGTGTCTCCTGCAAATTAATTCATTCATGATCGCCTTTTCTATTGCTTGTAGGTTATGTTTTGAGCTGATATTTGGAGCAAAACTACTATGTATATATTGTCCAGGAACTTTTTACATCACACAAATGAATGAGAATTGTATTTTTTACTTAGTTTTACGGAACACATCAACGGTAAACAGGGAGATGGCTGAGCTATTAAATCTTTGTCTTCTATTATTGTTTAATGTTCAAATAAATATGTATATTGCATGGAACATGGAAATCCTTTCTGTGTTTATTACCATTATTATCACGACCCACGGCACTTGGCGCTGACTATTGATCGAGTCTTTCTAACGGCTGCAACATTATATATAAGTGCAGGCACACCGTGAATCAACTGGTACCGTGTCACCCCGTGACGGGGATCATGATGATCCAGTTGCAGCTGCAGAAGAAATAGCATTTTGCAAAGCATGCGCTCGCTTCGGCCTGGGCCTGTATCTTTACCATGAGGATTAGAAGCTTCGGATCGATGTTTGGTGATGTTTTGAGTGATGGAGAGATCTTAATTGAGGTATTGTGTGCTGCTTCTGCTGCCTTGTGTTTGTTCTTGTATTAAGTTAATTCATGTATTACTTAAATGAGTATTGAGAATTGGTAATGAGTTGAGTGCAGCTACTAATTTCAGTGTACAACAGGTTTCTATCCCCACAACATTATTTTGATATCTTTAAAATGAAATAAGTTACTGTATGTAATATATGTTTTTTAAAACAATAATAACGTGACTAGTAAAAAGAAATTATAATCGTGATCACTTTTCCTTTTTAGATGAATTTATTTTTATGTTAGTATGGATCGAAAATATAAAAATAATATATTATGTTTTGAATTTTTTTACTTTTGTGATGAATAAAGTATATATTGTATGAATATGTGTGCATTATTATTATTATTATTATTATTATTATTATTATTATTATTTAATATTTATAGAGAATTGTGTTGCCAAAAATAAGTTGTGTGAACGCCTCTCTCTCTATATATATATATATGAAAACACTCTTATGGTATGTTTAATTTTTGTATTTTAATTTTAATTTTAAAAAGAAGTTGAATTTGATTTTTGTGAGTTGAAATAATATATTTTTATATAAAGCTTTTAAGCTTGGAGCAGCCACGGGGATCTTCGTGGTAAATGATTCAATTACTCAACTGTCTCCGAACAAACTTTAAACTAACCCCCAAATCAATGGTTCTAACACCGAATTCTAACTCTATACTCCGACCAAATCCCCGAACACTCAATCACAAAGAAGGAGAATTCACCGGGAAAATCAACAAGAGAAAACGGTTGAAACAAACATCAGAAAAAAAAAAAAAAAAAAAAAAAATCTCTCAAATTCCCACAAAGAATCTCGCAAGCTCTGATTTTTCAATTGGAAAGCTAAATGAGAGTTTTATTTCATCTGTGGGTCGGGTCATGGGTCAAAATCAAGTTAAAAGGTTTGGAACAAGTTGGGTACAAATTTCGGGCCCTGCCAAATTTCAACAAAAATAATGAATAATTCTTTTTTCTAGAAAGCAATATAATTTTGATTAACTTCTATTATTGTATTTTTGCTTGGGTTAAACCACCCACTAATTAGAAACAAATCTTCTTAATAAGGTCACTTTCTTTTGATCTATGCCATAAGAGCAGCAATTTATGCATCATCTTCATCGTGTTTATTGACTTGTATACAAAACTTAGGAATATTTTTCATGTTTGTATTTTGTATAAAGCCCATTGATTGAGGTGATATAAACCTTCAATTATATTCTCAACAATAAACCTTTAATGGTATTCTCAATAATAAACCTTCAAATGATTGAAAGTTTTGAGGATATGTTTAATCTTCAAATGATTGAAAATAAATCTCCAAATAATTTAAAATTTTAAGAATAAATTTAACCTCCTAATGATTGAAAATTTTGATAATAGTAATAGTGTAAAAAAATAAAAAATTATATAATCAAGTGTATAAATTTAGATTTTGGGGATTTAAAAATTTTGAAAAATATTAGAATTGAAAGAGTTTTATAAATATTTTTTATTTTTAAGCATGTTCGTAAAATCTTGAAGATAAAATATTGAAAGAAAGAAAATAAAGTAGCTTTAAAAAAATAAAAATTCTTTTATAAGAAAGAAAGCTATAACACTCTAAAAATTAGATATCATTAATATGTGTTGTATGCATTTGCATTGTTAGATTATATTAATTTGATTTATGTCATTATAGTAATGATCAATTTTTTTAACTTTTGTTTTTATTTAAATTTATTGATCATTGTTAGATCACATCACATTACTTGTGTTAAGTTATAGTCACGATGATTTTTTTTTTAATTTTTTTGTGAAATTTTGTAGAATATGTAATACATCACGTCACATTATTTTGTGTCATTGTAGTGTTGATCAATTTTGTCAATTTTTATCTTAGTGAAATTTATTGAATGCAATGTTAAATCGCATCAAATTACTTGTTTACTATTGTACTAATGATCAATCTTTTCAATTTTTGTCTTGTTGAAATTTAGTAAATACATAGTTAGATCACGTTACATTACTTTGTATTATTATAATAATTATCAATCATGTCAACTTTTGTCTCGGCTGAAATTTAGTGAATATATAGTTAGATCACATTACATTATTTTGTGTTATTATAATAATAATCAATCTTGTCAACTTTTGTCTTGTTAAAATTTAGTGAATGTATAATTAGATCACATTATATTACTTTGTGTTATTATAGTAGTAAGCCTAAGTCCTGTCCGGGACGGCCAACTCCAATTCTAATTTTTTAAAATTTATTTTGTATAATATTTTATTGAAAATAAATTATATGAAGTACTTTAAATAAATACAATTATAATAAAAATAATATTTTTATTAATAATAAAAAATTTTAAGTTGGGATTTTCTACAGGCTTATGTTTTCCAACCATATTATGAATTTATATTGATGTATATATTCAATCTTAGTATAAATATAATATTCCTGCAATTCCTCCCAGCCAATCACCCCGAAGCTACAAAATAACAACAGATCTTAAATACCCCAAACCTCAATAAACACAACTTCTACCATTCCAATTAACAAGCAAATAAAATAAATAAATAAAATAAAATAAAATACTTGCATAAAAAAAACACAATACCTTGCTACCATGCACGAACCATCATCCCCAAATTCCATTCCCTCCAATCCCTCCTAGCCTCCCGCTGCACATTCAAATCAAATCCCCAAAATACCCCTCCCCCGCCGGCCGGGTTAAATCGCCGGAATCAGAACCAGAAGCAGCCAACAATGGCGGACCTGCAATTGATTCTCCAGCCGGACATCGAGAAGCTGAACAAAACCATCCTCTGCTACGCCGAAACCATCTACCGTCTCAATGGCCTCTGGGAAGGCCCCGACCCCCTCACCCCCCTCATCTCCCTCTTCCTCATCCAGCTCACCTTCTCCATGTGCTTCGTCCACCTCCTCCTCGTCCTCCTTAAACCCTTCAACCAGCCCCCCTTCGTCACCGAGATCATCGTCAGTTCTATAATCAAATTAATTCTTAATTCAAATTTCAATTTCTGATACGTACATACCTTTGGTTGTTTGCAGGGAGGGATTCTGTTGGGGCCTTCGGCGTTTGGGCGATTCACAGCTTACAGAAGATTCCTCTTCCCCAGCTTCTCCTTCAAGATCTTAGAGCCAATGGCGCATTTATCCATCACCTACTACGCCTTCCTCGTCGGCCTCAAAATGGACGTCAAATCCGTCGTCCGTACGGGCCCCGCCGCCGCGAAAGTCGCCGTCGCAGGAAGTTTCATCCCTTTCCTCGTCGGCTCCGCCGTCTACTTCGCCTTTCCGTTGAACGCCTCCTCCAAAGCTGGCTTCGTTTTCTGGGGCGCCGCCCTCACCGTCACCGGATTCTCCGTCCTCACCAGAATTCTCGACCTCCACCAGCTACTCCATACGGAGATCGGAAAAACCGCCGCCGGCGCTGCCCTAATTACAGATATCTCCGGCTGGGGGCTTCTCGCCATCTCCTTCGCCATTACCAGCACCTACAGCAATGTTGAGTGGTCGATTATTAGCTCCGCCGCGTACGTCCTCTTCTGCGCGTACTGGCTCCGGCCGGCTCTGGGGTGGATCATTCTGAGGACGCCGGAGGGGCAGGGGTACAGTGAGTTCTACATCTGCGCCATTGTTAGCGGTATGTCGCTGAGCGGAGTTGTGGCGGACATGTGCGGAACGCACCCTATGATTGGAGCCTTCGTCTTCGGGTTAGTTATACCTAACGAAGTCCTTGAGGCCGCCATTGTTGATAAGCTCGAGGATTTCGTGGTCGGAATAATGATGCCTGTTTATGCTGTCGTCTGTGGACTCCGATTCAACATCGATTCCGTCGGGTACGAGACCTCCTGGTTCATCGTGGTGCTGATCGTCGTCCTTGTCTGCTCTGTGAAGATCATCAGCTGCCTCGCCGTCAGCCTCTTCGCCGACTTCTCCGCCGGCGACGCCGTCGCCATGGGACTGCTGTCAAATGCTAAAAGCATTATGGTTCTGTTCTTTCTAGAAGCAGGGCAAATCCAGGGCGTTTTAAGCACGCAGGCGTATTCGATAATGGTAATGGCGGTTCTGGTGATGACGGTGACGGTGACGCCGGCGGCGAAGTGGTTCCGGCCGATGCAGAACGCGGTGCCGTACAATCGCCGGACGATTCAGAAAGCGAAATCGAACGAAATTCTCCCGATCCTCGCCTGTATCTACACGATGCGCAACGTCCCCGCCGTGATCAACATCCTTACGACGTCGAACGCGTCGGAAAGTTCTCCGATCGCCGTTTATGCTCTCCATTTAGTGGAGCTCGTCGGCCGCGCGACGACGATGCTCATCGTCCACACCTCGCGGAAGGCCGGCGGCCACCGGAATCCGAGCAGCGTCGAGGCGCAGGCGGATCAGCTTATCACCGCCTTCGACAACTACGAGCTCCGGTCGGAAGGCGTCACGACGGAGGTGCTCACCGCGCGGTGTCCGTACACCACCATGGACGACGACGTCTGCACCATCGCCGAGGAGAAGCACGCCGCCTTCATCGTCATCCCCTTCCACCGCCAAATCAACGAAGAAGGCGAGATGGAGGACGTTGATCCGTCGATCCGCACCGTCAACGAAGGCATCCTCGCCAACGCCCCCTGCTCCGTCGGCATACTAATCGACCGCGGCTTCGCCGAGAAGTGCGACCGCGCCACCAATATTGCCGTCCTCTTCTTCGGCGGCGCCGACGACCGCGAAGCACTAGCGTACGCCTGGAGAATGGCGAGCAAACCTGACGTCAAACTCACCGTGGTACGTTTCCTCTCGAGCGCAGAGGCGGCGGCGGCCGCCGCCGCCTCCTCCGCCGCCGGCCGAGCTCCGATGGATCAAATCGATACCAACCATATGTCCGTACACATCGATTACGAAGGGGAGAAGCTTCTAGACGACGATTACTTAAGCACGTTCAAATCGGCGACCATTAAAAGCAATTCGATCAGCTACTGCGAGCTGGTGCTGAACGACGAGGAAGAAGCGATAAAGGCGATAAAATCGATGGACGAGCACGAGCACGATCTGTACATGGTAGGGCGGGGGAGAGGTATGCTGTCGCCATTGACGTCGGGGCTGGCGGACTGGTGCGACTGCCCGGAGCTAGGTCCGATCGGAGATCTGCTGGTGACGTCGGAGTTCGAATCGAAATTCTCGGTGCTGGTGATGCAGCAGTACACGAAGGCGAACAAGCAGAGGGATATTCATCAGAGTTCGTTCAGAACGGCGAGCTCGGTGAGCTACGGAGAGGAAGTTCCGATACGGCCGTCGGTAAGTGACAGCGAAGTGTTTGAATCGTTTGACAGTTTCAGGAAGTGGAACCACGAAGATTGAGGGGAGAAGAAGAAGAAGAAGCTGTCATACAATCTGTAAATGAACATTACTTTCTGAACAAATTTTATTTGTTGTATCGTTTAATACTTTATGAGTTACTTTTCGGCCCAGCAATTGTTTTTGTGCATAATAGGAGTATTCGGTTATCACACCAAATAATATAGTTTTAACTCTAGACCTCACACGTAAAAAAAAACTATCCCACACTATTAAATCAGATTCAATTATCCATATATATGAAGGACTCTCTATTTATATTAAGTTTTGGATCGCCTCCCTCTCACCTGGCTCTGTGTTAATTCATCCAACCGTTCTAATTTACTACCACTGTCTCAACTATTTTGTCTTTTAACATGTGGTTTGTATAATTATATTTTTTCAAAAAAAAATGTAAAATGATGTAAGACGGATAGAAATATAAATAGTTGATAAATTAAGTGCGACGAAAAAAGTACTAGATAAGTTGCAGATCCTTTGCTGAATCGGCAAAATCAACATAATGCTAATTTGACCGGATTATGTGATACACATAACCATATTATATTTATACATAATATAATATATGCTAAATTATAATATAATATATGATGAGATAATATGTCATATATTAAATTATAATATATATTATATTATATTATAAATACGCTGATATATGTATAAATATACGCTAATTAAATAAATAATATGCTCTGATTCGGTAAATCAGCCTTGTGCTGACTTGACAGGATTAATAGCTAGTTCATGCTCTATTGCATAATGCTAGGTTCATAATTTAGTGGATAGTGTTTGGCACATCCAACTAATTGGCTTTGAATTTAAATGAGTTCCAAATGGGACTGAAAAGAAAGGCAAAAAAGCATGTTTAAATCCCTTTAAAAGTATTACTGCAATTCAGATATGTAAGTATTGTTCTATACAGTTTCTCATACAAATTTTCTTCACATACAACAATGTTAATAAAGACCAAACATCATAGACAGTAAGTTTAGCTATCAGAGTCGTGTCATTACCTTAGCATGTTAACAAGTTCGATCAAGATCCTTGCAAGATCTGCCCCATCATTCCACTCGCAAACTTTAGCTTTCACGAGCCGGAGATTTTTCAATATGTGCTTCCATAAGGAATAGTTCTTCCTAGGCATCACGAAGTCTCCTTCAACAAGTGTCAGGGTCGGACACAGGTCATTCTTGCCATCTCCAATGTATATTAATCTTTTACTCGGCCCATCCAACATGGAAGCCTGTATCTGCTTTATAACACCTCCCTAAAAATAGAGAAAAGAATTTGAAGTATTGTAATAAGACAAGCGATAAAATTATAGACATTATTCGACTAGCAGGTTGTCGACTCCAGCTTGGTTACTAAGAGATACCATTCGGTTTCCATGCTGACCGGGTCAGCACAAATACATGATATAGTTATATATATTACAATATATTATTGATTTCAGATATATATATATATATATGCAGCACAGTACAATATAAAAATTGCATAGCACAGTCAGCCTTGTTGAATTGTGCTAACGGCCGCTGCCCTAAGACATATCTTTTATGTATATCAGGCATGCTTGAGAGTAGAAAATAGAAAAATAATAGTAATAATAATAAATAAAGTTTTCTGGAACTTATTCATGATCACTTTCATTATACCGTCTATATCATACCGACATTAAAACAAACTACTTCAATATCAAAACACACACACACATATAAAAGTAGCTAAATAGGGACAAGCACGAGTCACACAATTTGGAACTATTTGATTCATTGCTTCTAATCCACCATAACATGTGTTGTGAGCTAGAGTTACCATCACTGCCGAGCACCTAATTTGCAGGAGGAAAAGATATTTGTAATTGCAATGATTTCAGTCCAAAACCCTGGGAAGTTCTGATCAAGGTGTAAACTAGAAGCCAACCATTTATAAGGAGTTTGGAGATGAAAGAAATTCCATGGTGTTGATTATTGCAATAATGATAATATTTGCTGCAACAATGTGGGATTGAAAACAGTACATAAACAAAAAGTACATTTCAGTTTCACATGATCATGTCCTAATAAAATTAATATATTTTTGTCAACAGATGTGTGAAGTTACACAAAGAAGAAACTTTCAGTTAAATGCTATTATTCCATTAATGTTTTCTTTCTTTTCTATCTCAAGCAGAAATAAATGAAACTGCACACAGACACAAAATCATAAACAAACTTGACTAATTGAGAAATGGTTATAGTTGAAGGTGAAATTTGGTGACATGGCACCGAAACACATTACCAGAGTGGCATATCAAACAGTCTACATATAATTAGATAAGCAGTTCAGTAAAATGCAGGTCAAGATACTGAGTTTAAACTGCATACCTTACACAGGTTGGGTGGGCAGAGGTCACAACCATGGGGTGAAGAAGCATCCTGATAGGGGAAGATCCTGAGCCGTCCACCATCTGTAGAAACGGGGTTCGTGATGATCTCTGAGAAACAGCTGTATATGCCATGATGCTCCAGAATAGTTTTTATGTAAAACGAATTTGAATCACTGGCCACTTTCAAGTCACATCTGCGCTCCACCAACACGTGTCCATTGCATTCTCAAACACAACTCAGAAAACCAAGTGAAAGATTACAAAAACAATAACTATATAATGCCACGAAGATTTTAATGAAATAAATACCCAAGGGCATGAGCTGATCTTATAGCTGCAATGATATGAGGATGCAATGGAACACTTTTCAAACACTCGGCAATGTCCTGTACAGTTTTCCCTCGAAGATATAGCTCCTTCAGCATTGCATCCTACCAGTTAATTAATGAGTCAAAATTACCATAACAATAAATTGCAACTGACACCTGTTATATAAGAAAAGTTTAGAACCATAAACAAATTGTCTTTTTGTAAAAACTAGCTCTATTCTCTTTGAGTTTTATTTTATTCCAAGTAAATTTAACATTCTTTTCCTTAATTATCTTTTTCCAGATATGGTAAATGTTTACCTAAAAAATACCAAAATGAAATATTAAAAACAAAAAAAAAATCACAAAAGCTCACCCTTAGCATCTAGCTGAGGACAGGAATTAAACTAATAAAACACCGAAATTGGAGCGCACAGAGCTCATGGTGTGTATTCAAAATACCAACAATCAATTCTATTAGATCATTATATCAAAAAACTATTTCGATTCAAAAGATATTAATCAATATGTGGCCACAAGCATTGCCACTGACATGCATTCAAGGTTTGGCCAAGCATAGCATCATTTCCTTTCTAACATAATACAAAGAATAAACTAATTAAAAACCATAATAACAAATAAATTAGAAGCATTAGCAATTGATATCAACAAAACTCATCAGAAAGTTAGAAAATGTGGTGTTAATGAATCTATACATAACCAATCACGCAACTTGAGCACGCGATGAACAACGTAAGAACAATCATCGTAGATTAGCGATAATCGAGATAGAAAAGAACGGAATTGGATGAAGTGCAGACCATGAGAGAATTCCACGGCAATGTGTCCCGGAGCTGATTGAAGTGATCGGTTAGATCCATATTTGTTAGAACCCATTGGTCGCTATCGTCGTCGATTAGAGTCCTGTCGAAGTCGAATATTATCACGATATCCCCGGCCATTGATTATCGGAATCCAGGAAGGCCAAGCTGCGCTGCACGGTGGCGCCGCCGTCGAGAAAACTCCCGCTTAAGTTGTTGCGTTTGATGATATGCCTAACAATTTTGCGCTGCTCTTTTTATTCTATATTTTTTATTTTTTACATCTCCGATATTTCTATTTTAATGAATAGTTAAAAAATTTATTAATAAAATAATTATAAATGAATATTAAAATAATTAAATAATTTAATTAAAATTTAAAATTTAAAATAGGATTATGTGTATAATTATATTTTTTTAAAAAAATAAGTTATTTAGTAGGATAGAAAGAATAATAAAATTTTAATTAAAATAAATAGTTAAAATAGTATAAATATAATTTTATTTTTATTTTAATTATAATAAAAAAGTAATAATATGATGTTAAAATAGGAGTTTATGTAAAATAATAAGATTATAATTAATAAAAAATCTATTCATTAATATTAAAATATCTTTAATTTTTATTTAAATTACAATTGTATATAAAAAATTATTATTTTTTGATCCGCGGTGATAGTTAAAAATAGTAAAATAATATTTTTGTCTTTCATTTTTTTGTATAAAAATAACGATGTGATATAAAGTAAATGTATTTGTGAAAAAAAGAAAAAAAATATTTAATAAAATATTTATTTTGTAATTAAACGTTCCAAAATAGAACTATGTATACTTCCTAGGTAGACGGAGGGAGTATTATTTTAATTTTTTTCAATTCCAAACCCAATACTACTCGGAGCCCAAAACAACCTTTGGGTGTATTTCTTTGTATTAGTTCGAAAAGATTTGGCTTAGGGTGTGTCTGTTTGGGGGATTGGATTAGATTTTCATTATTTATTCCATTTTTTTTTCCTAAAATATCAAATAAAACATCTATTTTTTATTTTTTATATTATACTAAAAATCAATTTTACATTCAAAATATCACATCAATACTTATTTATATCGCGTCATACAACTATTCAAATTCAAAATTTTTACTATTCAAATCACAACTTAAAATCCAAACCCCCAAACAAACACACTTTGGAGGAGATTTGAATTTTTTTGTAATTTAGAAAAGATGCATTGGGTTAATAATTTTGTTTTAAAGAGTTTTGATAGATATTGATTTGATAAATAATATTATTTTTGTTTGGGTTTTAAGGGTCTTATTTATTTTTTGGGTGTTGATATTTTAATATTACTTATTATAGTAGTACAAATAAAAAAAAATATACAAAAATATTTCAAATTAGTGTCTTATAATTTTAATTGAAGGACATTTGTACAAAAAAAAATTATATAAATATAAAGATATTTTTAATATCGAATACAATGACGCAAAAAGTAAATGTAACCGTTACAGGCAACAGAGGGAGTAATTGTATTAGATTAAATAAATTTATTTTTTATTAATAATAATATTAATTTAATTTATAATACGTTCGACTCTAAAATTTTATTTACGTTTTGCGTGTTGATATTTGAATATTAATTATTATATCAAAATATAGTGCAAATTTAAAAATACTTCAATTAGTGTTTTATAATACTAATAGAATGACATTTATTCAAGTAATTATCCAAGTATAAAAATATTTTGAATAATAAATATAATAGACGCAAAATGTAAATGATACCTTAAATACGGACGGAATATATTATTTTAATTAAAATAAGAGAAAAAATCAATTTGATCTTAATATAATCAAATTTTATTAATTTTGATCATAATATAAAAAAACTCATCAATTTTAGTATTATTATAAATAATTTTAATCAATTTTGATTTTACAATTAAAAAAACTAACACAAAATTGCTGTTGTGGACCATGTAGAATTATATACTGCAATGTTGTTGCATATTTCAGTATACAACTATACACCACCATGTACATTTTTGTTTTAGTCTAAAATTTTATTTTGCTTGTTATATATTTTTTTAAAAAATATTTTAAATTTATAATAGTTGATATATTTAAAATAAAAAAATCAATAATAATTATAATATAATTAAATGTATCAATTTTAATTCAAATATGATATGTTTTCTTGGAAATTTTTGTCAAATATTCAACTATTTACCAAAAAAATTTCTCTTATAAACATTTCATTACACTACTATTTTTTATTTTTATATATTATAATATTAAAAAATAATTTTATATTTGAATGCAATTATATATGTCTAAATTGTTTGAAATTTTATTGAGATGTAAAATAATTTTTTTAATATAATATAAAATAATAAAAAATAGTTGTGTAATTAGATGTTTGTTAGACAAAATCTTTAAAAGAACATATCTTATAAATTTTATATTTGAATTAAAATTGATACACTTTAATTATATTAGGATTAATATTGATTTTTTTTCATTTTAACTGTATCAACTATTCTAAATTAAAAAAATATACTCCCTCCATCCCATAACAAAATATCAATTTTTCCATTTTAGTCAGTCACATAATAAAATATCCATTTTTTGTAGTAACGGTACTATCTACTAATATTACAAATATTCTTACAACTTCCAATATATTATACAAATATTATTACATTTATATCCCACGTACTAATAAAGTTATTTTAATCGTTTCTTTTATTCCTACTATATCTCAATATAATACTAATATTTTTAAAATAAAGTACAAAAAGTAAATAAATGTTTAGTTATGGGAACGAAGGGAATATATTTTTTAAAAAATATAACAAAATAAAATAAAATTTTCCCAAAAGAAAAAAAAAAATGCACAACCATTTAAAATTAAACATACAATGTATAATTGTACAAAAAATATACATTAACGTTAATAATGCTTAATGACCGGGTAGAATTAAACATACTATTTCTTCTTTTTTTTTTTTCTTCCTCCTTCTATTTCTTCCTCTTCTTTTGTCTTCCTGTTCTTCTCCCCTAATTTTTTTTTTTCTTTTACAAATTCTCACAATTTTTTTCCGGTTTCTTGTTCCTTCTTCTCCCACTCGTCTTTCCTCCTCCCCATTCTTCTTCTTCGTCTCTCAATTTCTTCACAGCAGTCACCAACCAACCACTTTTCCCTCTTTCTTCTCCCCGTCGTTCTTCTTCTTCTTCTTCTTCTTCTTCATATTGTTTTAATTTTCTTTTTTCCAAAATCTTTTGACAGCAGACATCCACCATCTGATCCATTTTCTCTGACCTACGCCGCAGAAACAAAACATAGGGCAGACGTTGTCAGGCGTAGGAAGAGTTTCGCCGGCAAATTTGGTTGAACAGTACTGCGACAGTAAAGTTTGGGAAACTTTACTCAAAGAAACACACCCTTATTTTTTGTTGTAGGTTTACCGGCTGCCACAATTGGTGACCTCACATTCAGCATTCTTCATTATGGATGAACCATTGAAGGAACCGAAAGTGGAGATCGAAGACGCCGGACTGCCGGTTAAAATTGGTCGAAGATCTTCCAAAAAACATCGTGAAAACGAGGAGTGCTACTCCGAGACTGCCTCTTCGAAAGAACGAAGGGTCGGAGGGACGTTACTGGCTTTGCATAAGCCCAGCTATTGCCTGAAGAAAGGAATTGGGAGCACGCAATGCGTGAGTGAATCCCTGCGAACCTGGCACCGTAGAAATCTCTGGCGAATCTTCGAGAAGCTCATTCGGAGGCACAATTGGGAGGAGGCGAGTGGCGTGTTGAGTGTGTTGCTCCAAGCGACTGTTCATGACGATTCAATCGAAGGAAATCGAGCCAAGTATTCGGTACATGCTGTTCTTTGCCCTTTTATTATATGCTAGCTTAGCACATTGAAAATTTCAATTATAGGTGTGAATTTCAATGAGTGTATGGATTGTGTTATGCCCTCATTTACTAACAGGAAAATTTAAATCAACTCTGATTTTCAAAAGATGATATAGAAGTATTCAATCCAGATTGCTTAAAGAATTTTAAAAATTAGGATTCAATCCTGTTTTTAAAGTCTTCCAAAATCTCTAGTATTAACAATCTGTATACTTTGAACTATGAATATTTTATTGAATTCTCACTTAAAATCATGAAAAAATTGTATTGTGGGAAATCTCTCTTTATAACTAGATATTTCTATCGGATTCTTATAACTTAATATTATTATTATTATTAATCCATATATGTTATAAATATTAATTTCAACTTTTGAAAACCTTGAATTCTGATTTGATTTTTGTAGATATATGTTTATCTTTTGTGTAAAAAATTATTTAGATATATTGTTATGTTTTTGGAACTAATGTATTTTTGTAGTTTTAGTTTTTATTAAACAATTCTTTATATATAAGTGTGCTTTATATATATTTGCAGCATTGCAGTTTGTGGAAATCATATAAATCAATAAAGAATTATTTTACAATTCTACCAATTCCACGAAATTCATCTAAATCAATAAATAATTCTTTATGAAGTCCAAGAATTTTAGAATTTAGATTCAGTACCTATGTGTCATAATGATATATATTCTTGAGAGTTGAGCCTTGGCTTTGTGAAGCTAGATTCAGCTATCCAAATGGTTTCGCTTACCATGTACAAGACACAGCTGAGGGTTGACTTAGGAGACTTTATTATTCACTAATTTCGATTATTAGCACATTGTGGAACAAATAGTTACTGGAGGAAGTAATTGTTACATTGAGAGGGGTTCAAGAAGTGTTTGTCTTGTTATGTGCAATAATTTGCTGTATCTATGAAAATTTGTTATTCTGGGCAGGATCAACTTCTTTACGTTAAAAAATAAAATCATTTGAGGGTAGGATAATAGGTTTAAGAATGAGAATTTACGGAACGCAAACCCAACCTCGGATGCTATTTCAACACAAGATGGTGGACACTCTTGCTTGAGAACAGCGCTTGATCACGCCTAAAAGTCTCATTCAGACCCGCCCTGTGGTTCAGTCAGAATTCTCTGATAGGGGCTCGCTGCTTCAAGTGTAGCCCAACCTAGATCTGCTCTTGGCCATTCTGTCATTTTGTGTTTTTTGAATATAGATGTTGATATACACAATACGTTTTATGCGTTCCTTAAACATGTATCCATGACATAAAGAAACAGATTGATGAGACTTACTTTTATGTATGCATTATGTCTTTGTCTCTTTGCTCTTTTTTCTTCCAAACTTGATTAGCCATATGCCAATTTTCGCTTGCTTTGTAATTTGTCTGTTGTTTGTTATGTATTTGCATTTCTTCTGGCAGCCGTTTGCTGTATGGCTTGTTCAAAATAACTACCCTTCATGGTTTCTGTTCTCTTTTTCCTGTCTTTTAAATTGGCTGCTTGTTTTGTAGGCTGCATTGGAGCTTCTTACTTATATTAAAGGTGAAACTCTGAATTCAAGAAGAATCCAGAGTGTGTATGAACTATGGATGAAAAAGCTTGGACTGTTGAAATATTTGCCACCAAAGGTAGAATTCAAATTATCTGTTGTGTAATGTGTGTTAACTCCGTATATGATCTTTAGGGAGTGACTCAATTAGAAATGTTAGTTCTTGCCTTGTATGGTTATTTTGTTAAAATAAATTATTTGGTGTATTGATTGGTCATGTATGATACAAGTATGTTTGATTTCTTTGATTTCAAATCTTTCAAAGATGCGAATACAACCTACAAAACACTAAAACAATGTTTTATATTTTCATATATATGCATGAATAGATATGAAACATGCATTGAACATTCTGTGGTTAATGAATTATTAAAATATGAAATCATTACTCACAGATGCGAAGATACACACAGGTTCAACTTCTTGTTTTTACACTTAATGTGGTTTTGGTACTCTGTATGTTAATCTTAGAAATTTAAATAGACTTAATATATATCTGTGTGTGAGTGCGTATCAGTGTATGCACATTCATATATCTGAAATTTAAATCTGACATAGAGCCATGTTCTTTCATAAATCATTTGCACAAAAGACACTGTTATTTTACACCTCTAGAAATGGAACAGGGATTTGGATCAAAGCTAAGATTTTGGCTAGCCTCTATTGCTATCTTGTTTATCTTTGATCTTTTAATTTTGTTTGCTGCATGCATAGAGTGAAACTAGATTTTCCACCTTGGTAAACTTGGTTTTGCTTGCCATTGTCTAGTGCATATGAGAATGACTACAAGACTTTTGTTCGTTGAGCTAGAAATAGATAATGGTTATGGTTGATGCCAGCGGAGCAGGGCTGGCAGTTGGCCCCTTGCAAGTCTATTCCCGGCGTCAATTGGGCCATGGCCTATTTTGACTTATTGTTTCTATGCCTTCTATATAATTAATTACCCTTTTCATATTTCCCTTCCTGATTCCCTTGTGCCCCGCCTTCATTAATTCGTTCTTCCATTTTTTATTCCTTAATATCAAAGTCTATCTATTATAAGTGGAGGCTTGTCTGCACTCTGCAGTTTTAAGATTGTTATTGAAATGAACCATTTTTGTTGTTCTTCTGTGGACTCTTCTAAATGATGAGATACATGAAATTAAAGAACCAGGCTGATAAATTGCAGTTAAATCTTCATTATAGGATATGTCAAAATATAGAAGATAGTGTTGGTGTACATAAGCCAAAGGAACTCTAATGCCTCTAGTGGTTTAGATTATTCTGTGGTCCCCAGAATCCAACTACCAACTAACATTTAGTGGGTACTACTTATTGTTATGGACATTGGTAGTGGTTTGAGTATATGGGCATGAATAGAGATTTATATTAGATTCCCTCTTTAGCTAGGTGTATATAGTAGGGTTCTCATTCCATTTGTATGTTATCATTATCATTTCTTCAAGCATTAATGTGACAGAGAAGGTTTTTTTTTTCCCCCTATTGATCATTCTCCTTGATCTTTGGTTCCCCTTCTATTGTTTTATAGGATAGGTTTGCTGTTCAGTTGGAATATATACTATCGTGCTTACAGCGTGGGAGTTTGGAGGATGCACATCAAGCTGCTATTTCGTGAGTTTATGTACTTTTTCATATTCATCAAGATTCAACATCATTGTATACCTATTTCTTGTTAGTAGCATTAGACTGTACTCATCATATGTCTGAAACCTGCACGCACATAATTTGTTATTCATAACTGTCCAGCATGAACTGTAACCTTCCATCATCCTTGTTTGATGGTTTACTTTACTGCCTTTGTTGATCAGTATCATGCAGGAGCCTGGTTTCTCTAGTGACCCTCGTGCAAATTTCGTAGTTGGATTGGCATTTTGTCGGCTGTGGTATTCTGGTTTACCAAAAGAGTTACAACTAACAGAGTTTGACTCTTCTTCCATATATACACAATCGGAAGTCCCTTTTACTGGCATGCACATTCCAGTCGATTATTCTAAGGATAATGAGGCTGCTATGCCAGGAGAAGGCAGTTCTGCCCTACCATGTGGGTCCAACACCTCTATTGCCTTTGATAAAATACCGAAATATGATCATAGCAGACTGGAGGACCCAATGGATCTTGATGCTGAAGTGAAAAAGGAAGTCTCTAATACCAGTTTTCAGCTGTTGCAGGATTATACAGAATCAGCTGAGGCTAGTGATCACCTCGAGTCCTTGTCTAATTATGAAGAAGACCTTCCTCAAGTCTCTATTTTCTATACCAAAGGTTAGCTACATAGTCCTTGCTCTTCCATTGATCAGTTTGCTCAAATATCAGTTGTAGTGAAGCTATGATTATTTTTTTTCATTAAAGAGCAATGACAGAAATAAGTAGTTTCCTAAATTATATTGATTGAAACTATGTTTATGAGAGAAATGGCTTATTGTTGGTGCTATTGATAACAACAATATATATCAAAATAAAGTGGAAGTTCACATTTATTAATTCTTTTGAAGATGTGGTGGAATTCATGTCTATTTCTATTTGAAACCTCCCCACTCCACTTCTTTTGAATTTAATTGGGAATTAGTGTGTTTTGTTCATCTGTCTTCTTAGGTAATGATTACTTCCTTAGATTTGGGTTTCCTGTTCTATATCCAAAAACTGATTCTAATAGTAATGATCTATTTTAATGTATTACATATTTTCCACAACCTACTCAACAAAAATGTTTTGTTAATCAGCAATTTTCATATTGATCTGCTTTGTTATTTTTTTTTTTCTCCAGTTTGCTACATAACCAATTCATGCCCTTATCTTTATTGCTATTATATGGGTGTGTTTGGTTATGATTTCAAACCTATTTCAATACTATTCATCTGGCGCGCGTTCCAATAAGAATATATTTTTTTTCTTGCAAAACATCACATCAAAAGTCTATTAAAACCAAAATTCAAATTAACACTCCAATTTCAAATCAAAACCAAACAAACTCTATGATAATACCTATTTTGTTGATGCAAATCTCAAATCGTTGCAATGAATGATGTAGAACACATACACGCAGCATTCACATTTTATGCATCTTATTTATTCATTAAACCTAATTGCTAATTTAGAAATGTTAACTAGATCTACTTGCTCAAAGTGACAATCTACTTAGTATTGAATTGCATATGTTCTTCTTCTACTCTGCAAGACTAGAGATTTATGTAAAAGCTAATTTCCTTATTATCTTTCAAATATAGGCTTGCCTCCATGGTTGTGTCCTTTGAAGTTTCCCAGTACCGATGAAAATTTCGAAGATGTTGTTCATGCACACAGAAAATTTCAAGACAGCCGCTATAAGAGTGCATTGAAGCACTTGCGTGTTGCTCTTCATGCAACACCACCAGTAGCTGAGGCCTTGCACCCTTTAATACAGGTACCATGTGATAACTGATTTATAATTCATAAGTGCGTGCCATTTATCACCACGATGATGAAAGAGATTCTGTCTTTTTTTTTTTTGGTAGAAAGTTCTACTTTAAAATCAGTATTCTGACATCATTCCAGATAGTATTAAGGTCATGTTTGGCTCATTGGGTATTCTTTTAATGCTCACTTAATAAGTGTTTCCTTTCAATGGCCAATGCTTAACACTACACATTATTAGATGCCAATGCTGGGTTATTAAGCCCAATTAAGAAGTATCCATATTACAGTAACATATCATAATTATGCTTAATGCCTAATGTTGTACATTCATAAAAACTATGAGGTCAATAAAAGTGTATGCATGTCAAATTGACGATCACAATTATTGAGCAGCTTGCTATGATGTTGGTTTGATTGACTAGTTTCTTCTGAAATTGGATTCTTTTGAATTTTGCTTGCTTAGATTTATATATGAAATTATGTCTAGGTTCAATCTTTGTGCATTATTGCTGTGCCTTGCAAGCACTAATCTGATATATTACTCTAAAACATCTATCTTTTAGGATAGGATAAACCATTTCTTTTCCTTAACTGATTTTCATTCAAGGTTGTCTTATCATGATCAAACAAAAGACTTTGCCAGTTCTGTTCAATTTTGTTCATTCTTGTAACTTTGAATTCATAATGGAAACTAAAAATAAAATCAGTTGCTTTTTATCTTTCCTGAATTTTTTTTGCTTTTGATTATCATTCTTTGCTGTTAAGCTGTATTGTTGTTCTTCATAAAGATTTTATGAGATGCTTGGCAAGTAACATTGCTAATTGTTCCTACCTTTTTTAATTTTACATCCGACTGTGCATCTAATATATGTCTTTCTTTTTGGTAGTTGTAGCCTTACCCTTTGGATGTATTTACATTTAAGCAAATTCAATATGAATTTCAAATTTGCACTATTTACCCCCTAAATTACAGCATTTTTTTCTTTCTTAATGTTGCTTTAAACAGCGTGCTCAAGGTGGCTATTGTTTTTCTCTTGTTTCCAGATGCTACTTCTCGGAGATCGGGTCCTTGAAGCCTTTGATGAACTTGAAAATTTATTTCCGGGCTCAAATACACCACTTCAACTAAGGTAATGGTTATATTTCCATGATATCCGAAAGAATCTACAATCTAAGAAATGCAAATTAGGCACTGGTCTCTATTTCACCCGAAAGTTCTAAAATCAAATCCATTGCTAAACTTTTCTCCAACTTACTCGACATATTCTTGCTGAATATTCTTACCGAATTCTTTCTATTATAATAAATCAGCTTCTGGTATTTACCGAATTTGAACTCTTCCACTGCAGAATGAAAGCAAGTCTCTTGGAGCATTTCGATAGTGAAAATTGTGCCAAACTTTGTACATGCTTCGAGGATATTTTAAAGAAGGATCCAACATGCTCCCATTCGTTGCAAAGGCTTGTGATCATGCATCAGCGCGGTATAATTACTATGTTAGTGTTCAACTGATTTCAATTCCGGAATGCATTGTTTGTAGAGCTGTTAAACGAGCCGAATAAGCTCGAGCATCGGTTGTTCGAGCTTGACTCGAACTTGTTAATGGTACAGACTTGGCTCGGCCCGTTAAGAATTCGAACCAAAATAGTGGCTCAAGCTCGGCTCGTTAGGTTCAAATTCAAGCTCAAGCTCGAGTTCGAGCTCGGCTTGAATTTTATACATATTCTATATAATTTTTAATATATAAATTAAATATATTTAATTTTATTCAATTTTTTTTATAAAAAATGTTCAAATTTTCATAATAAATGTAAATTTTGATATAGAAAATTATATATATTATATTAATATATAAATAATAAAAACATATTAAAACTAATGAGCTCAGCTACTCGCGAGCCGAGCTAGAGCTCAAAGCTCGTTTATAAAAAAAGAATTATTTTTGAGCTCGAACTCGGCTTGTTTACCTCTATAAACAAACCGAATCCAGCTTGGTTCGCGAGCTTTTCGATTCGTTTGACAGCTCTAATTGTTTGTCCACAATCTCTTCATTATTTGGAAAACCTTCACATATATATATATATATATACACACATATTTCAAATTTTCAGGAGAATACGGCATACACAGTTTGGTGGAAATGATGGCCTTACATTTAGATGCATCCCACGGCACATCCGACACATGGAAGGAGTTAGCAACATGCTTTTTGAGACTTTCTCAGTGTGAAGGAGACAGTGCATCCGCTTGCTACGGAAATGATGATGGCGAGCAAAGAGAAGAGCTTCTGGATACAATGCCCAACAAGCCTCCGGAAATATTTACCAACGGCGATTCTGGGAAGAACTGGAAACTACGCTCGAGATGGTGGCTGAGGCGCCACTTCCACACCCGATCTTCGGATATTACTTCGGGTGATAAAAAGTTCTCTTCCGTGTTTTGAAAACTTATTATCGATTTAAGATTGCTGATTCTGGTACTGTTCGATTCCTTTAGGTGACCTGAAGCTTTTGACGTACAAAGCGGCTGCGGCTTCGCACATTTATGGACGCCGATGTAGGTATGTATTGAAAGCTACAGAATTGTTGGAAAAGGAGAATAAAATGGAGCTATATTCTTTCTTACAAATGCATATACTTAATTCTGTTGGATTCTTTTTCTGGCAATAAGGTGGAATGAGAAGCACGTAGTTTGTTTGTTTGTTTTTTATTATTTTTTTAAAGATTGGTCTTTGATAGGTGTTGGCAGCGGTGATGATAAATAAAATTTGATGAATAATTTAAAAATAAAAAGTTGAAAATTATCAGAGGTTAAATATATATATTGATGTTTTAAACCTATATTGCTATATATATTATCTATATTTTCTAGAGACATATGCATGTTGAATTTAGTTTTTTTTTTTCAAAAAAATCAAAGATATCCAAATAAAAATATTTCATTCAAATAATATAAATGAGTATTATGCAATTTGTTCATAACAATTTATTTTTTATAATATGTGAAAGTAATATGAAAATTTAAGGCGCATTTAGTTAACAATTGATTTTTTTAGTTGAAAGTAATTTATTTAATTGAATATTTAATTTATAATTTAATATATAAATTTTAAATTTTTTAATGTATTTAAATATTTTAATAAAATATAGACAATGTAAAAATTATTTTGTAAATAATAAAATTTTATATAATGTAAATGAACAATATATAAATATTTTAATTTATAAATAAATAAGAAAATATACACGAATATTTTCATTTAATGAAAAATAAAAAAATAAAAAAATTTAAATGAATTTTTGAATGAATCTCATATTTTAAAAGCATAGTGACAATCGGACTGTAACGGTAGCCAAACAGACCCAAATATCCATCCCTTTGATGGGATAAAAGATCAGGAATGAAATTATTTTGAATTTCGATTTATTAGTAAAAAAATTTTCCAGACACAGCAACCAAATCTATAAGTAACACAAACAGGCAAAGCAAAGAGCACTTGTATTTATATTAATTACTATAAATATTACCCAATGGTAAAGTTAAGGCAGATAATCAGAAATTTTGCTATGTATACCACCACAGAAAAGTAAGAATAGAATAGACATGCTGCAAGAAACATACTTTGATGATGCCCTAAGATAATCCAGTGCCAGGCCATCTTATTGATCCTTTGTGCTGTTCTTCAACCATTCCAGATATTGTGTGTTGCCGCCGGTTATGGGCATCGCGATCACTTCAGGTACCCTACAAATAAAATAGGAATAACAACTTCCATCAGCTGCTAACAGAAGTCTGTGTAGATAAAATTAAGCCTCGTATCGTATCTTTCTGATGTAAATATAGCTAGTTAATATGGGTTGCTGTTAAACAAATGAGACAATGGTGCTATATTTGGGGTGATGATGTGCTTAAGGGATTATAAGGAAAGAACTACACATGTACTTTTGTTGGTGATGTATTAACTTTTGTGTAAACAATGCCCTTGGATGACGACCTTCCTTGCAACAAATTTTCCGGTGGTAGAAAAGGGGAAAGCACTCACTCATATTCATGATTTGCCTTCACATGTTGGGTCAAAGCGTCTAGAAGAGATTCCCTGGTCTTGATGATAAGCAACTCTTCGGTATCAGTTTGTATCTGTTTGCAAATGAAGAAGAAGCTGAACTTAAATTCTTTATATAGAACTCAGTAAATGAACACACCGCACAAGAGAATGGGGGACAATGGAGAGAGAGAGAGTATTTACCTCTCCTTTCCACTCATAAACTGATTCAACACCTGCGTGAAAATAATTTTAACTTTAAATTGTCTGGTAGGGAATAAACATTTACATTACTTCTAGTGACACAGCTTTGATATTAATAAAATAAATTAGTGTAAGAAACCAAGGCCTAATTCAGCACACACGAATTTAATTAGATTAAGATGGTTCAATTCATTAGGAAATGTGGAAAACGCAAGCAAAATCATTCTAGATTGACTACTGCAGCATTTGTGCTTCAATTCTGGAGAAGTGTTTGCAGAAACTTTAGAAGCAATGTTTATGATTAATATTTAATAAATTCATTAAATGCAGCACTGAGCAATGAAAGAGTTTTGAGGTTCATTCCAAGTTTTATTGCACAACAGAATGGTTAATTCAGTACACCTAAGAGGTTATTCAATTCCAAGGTTTCAATGTTACAGGTTAACATGCTTGAAACTTCGAAGTTTATTACGAAAGCAAAAAGAATTGATGAACAATAAATTTAAATCATCCTGAAAAGGGCTGAAACTTTATACAATATGACAGGTAAACAATGACAATAAGCTGCAAGTTACCAGGACCATACCTTGGTTTCAAAGATATAACACTACAGGAGTAACATTACTAACCTGGAACTCGATTAACACAGGCAGCAAGTCGTTCTTTGACAATGCTCGCTGCTAGTTTCTGTCCTGTAGAATGTCAGTGCAAGATCGATAAGGTACACATATAATTATAATAGATATTAGAAAATACGCATAGCAAGATATAACACCCATTGATATCCAGGTGCAGTGATGTTTTCAATTTAACAGCTAAACAGATAATGAAATATATGTGAATGAAATTGATGGTTTTCTATGTTATATGCTAAAGATTGACGGATAATGTAGCAAGGATATGGCATGCATAGTGCTTTCCAGTGGGAGAAAGAAAAGGCTAATATTCAAGATAGATAAACCCAAAGTTAACATACATCAGTGATGATAAACAAAGACAAGCCATTCAGAGACTTAGATAAAGCACAGATAAAATAAAGTTATAAAAATAAATAAAGACAGGGAAAGTTTGGATGTACTTGGCTCATAAACACAGTACTTAATACAAATGGAATCTAATGAAACTTCAATAAACCGAAAAGAACTACAGGAATAATCCTAACCCAAGCCTAATGGGCGATCCCCAAAACAAAACTATGCATGATTGACACAAACCCAAGCTGTGGAATTAGAAACCTAAGCTACTTGGCATGTAGCCCTAACATTGTTCACATACTGAAATAATGAAGGGAAGCAAAAATTCCTATGTCCAACATCATGCCACTGGGTGTAGATGTCCAACTCTAACACTAAAAAGGGCTCCTCTACTGGCTTAACTAGAACATGTTTGATTCAGACACGTGAGCCTTTCAGGAACAAAATTTGAGTCGTCTGCCCAGAATAAACTTGTACTTATTATATAAAGAACAAAACATTTAAATTTCATCAATCATCTTTGTTCATCACTAAAGTCAAATTTGAACCAGTCATTCATTAACTACAGTCAGCATATTATAATATTTTGCTGTAATAAAATTCAAACTGCAAATTTTGTTAATAGTCAATTAAGCCCATGTTCATAAACATGTATATTACTACCTTTAATATATTTATGTTTTATCAGGTTACTAAGCGAACTAAAAGACAGACTCGTTGAAATAAAATTTATTAACATTTCAAACAAACCATTCATGAATAGAACAGTTAAAATATATCAAAAATATTTAATACTTAGTTGTCAAACAATTCCAGCATAATCTAAGAACTGAAAATTTATAGTGGGAAACATAAAATCAGACACATTGGTTTGGAGTTATTTAACTTCCAATTCTCTGTAAACAAAGGGGATCTATTTATACAAGTGTAGTGTGTCCTATCAGTAAAACAGATAAAAAAAAAAAAAAAACAGCACTAGAAAATAAAGGATACCACATTAAAATACAACTAGGTTATTGTAACTTTGGAATCATGTTTGTCAATGCATCAATGGAACATTCACAACACCTATTAACTGCTACATAACCTAAACAATTAGGCTGCACATGCTGTGCCACTAGCAAATAAGCTTTAATTTGGAGTGCAATACATTTACACATATAAACAATGCCAATAACCTAGACACACAAACAACCACATAAACGTACTACTTAATTATTATTCAAACATTCAACGCAAAGAATCAAGAACAAACATGCACATACATAAACCACATCAATTACCTAGACAGCCAAATAACCATATACATATACTAGTTAACAATAACAATAATACTCATCGTGGACAATGAGATAATCAGGATTGTAATTGGTTTGTTTTAAAATCAATAATTGCTGGTGAAAGACAAATATCATGGCAAAACTAGACAACTAAGCATTACAAAAGTAAAAAACCAAGACAATAGTCACAAAAGCAACATGTTGAAAGCATATTAAGTTATCAGCAGAGTGATATAAAACACAAACATAGCAACATGGCTTGTAAATCCCCCAACAAACAGTCTTGCCACGTAAGTTCCTTTTAATATAAGAATACTACAAAGTGCATACTTACATGTGAATAAGTGGGACAAATAAGAAATCATATCAAATTTAATATACAGATAATTGAACTGTTCAATCACTTAGATGTGCTAATTGTAATATTTTAATATGTACTATCATTAGTGTTGTTCCTCAAAATGATCTAAAAATTGCAGTACATTATCTTAACATAGGCACATGTAGCATATCTGTGAAAAATACTGCCAACATATTCATTAATACTATGAAAATACAATATACTCAATAATGTCTAAGTAAGAAGTGGATTAAATTGAACAATAAATATATAACTAATTATAAAACCAAACCTGCTTCCTTGCTTGGTACAGTGACATAGACAACTATGCTGGGCACAGTAGTTTTACTTGCTTCCATTCTTATATTGTGAAGTTTACTCTCCTGAGCTTGTACACCAAATATTGATCTGGATGTTCGGGGAAAACACAAAGCTATCAGACACCAAATTAAACTGATAAGGTATAGAAAATGAAAGCTGATAGTTAGAAATCGCATGCATTTTATATTCATATCATATGCGATATTTGAGTGATTTTGATTGGATTCTACCTAATTTATATGCGAATTGTTTATTTGCTGTGTGCAAAGGGCAAATATCAAATTTGGCATAATTGGCAGAAAAATGGAAGAAAAATTCAGATTTGCACAACCTAGTTAGTCATGACCATGACTAACTTCACCCTCTTGATATGAGAAATTAATTAAAGGCCCAAGGCAAAAATTAAATAAAAGATGAGGGATCACACGTTTCGAAAGAAGAGAGGACGGCTAGGGCAGAAACGCACAGGAGCAGGAGACTGACAGATTCATAGACCGCTCAGGAGCAAATCGACAAAGAAGATTTCCCCCTCCCACTATGACCTTATCTTTTTCTTTTGTTCTTTGTTATTTGATTATGGAGTAGACACTTTTCGAAAAGTTTGAGGGGTGATAATATTTTGGTTCTTTTTGTTTTGGAGATTCTTGATTTTCTTTATAAAAGTTCTTTTTGATTATTAATATTTGTCTAATTCTGAGAATAGCGTTTGTGATTGTTAGATTGATTGAATATTTTGGTACCGATATTTAAATTAGTCTGATAATCTAAAGTCAATTCAGGTAGGATATCCGTAATTGTATTCGCACTTGAATAGGTGATAACCGGGTTGAATAGTTACTTCCCGGGGGTTAGACAATCAAATCTAATTGCTCCTCCTAGGTAGTAATTGTTTTGAATTGGGTTTTTCTAGATTACAATGCGGTTAGGCAATATTATTATGGGCGCACCTAGGTTTATTTGCTTAATTAGGGGTAGTTAACGGTCGTACCTTAATTACCTACACTGTAAAGAAAAATTGGTTGTCAGAGCTTGTTGATAACTATAACCAATTTGTTGAATAAGAATTAATTTTATTAAATTAATGATAAAACACAAGTGCCATAACTGTATGGCACTTGAGTCAGACATCCACTAGGATAGTCAGTTCCTCTTTAATTTAATTACTTTGTTATTTTATTTTCATTAGATAATAAAAGAAAATTCCTCCTTTATTTACTGCATTAGAACACGAAAGAGTGAAATATTTGATTGACCGCGCGACAGGTCAAAAGCATATAATTGATCCACTTAAGAGTTAAGACTACTAGCATATAATCGAACAGTATGAAACATACCCTGTTCTAGAGAATGGAGGAATTGAGGAGCACAGATTGGCAACACCGAAACTAATCACACAGAAAACACCCACCAGAGGCAGTTGACGACGAAACACTGCAGAGGAGACAACGGATGAAAGTCTTAATGCCATGAGAATTGTAATGTGGTTTGCTTGATAGGTATTAGTATTACCTGATACCACAAGAACACACTTCAAAGTTCAGAAATAAAAAAAGTTAAACTGTAGCCATAATCAAACTTGAAATGTAGAAATTACCAGATCAATAAATTTACTAATTACAAATAAGATAACTCAATTCTTCCCATCAGAAAAAAGATTATTTAGACGTTTCCATCTTAAACTAACTCTTCCATTCTGCAGCCTAGAAACTGGACAGTGCATTTCTAATTAAGCTTTAAATTCTGCATACAGGAATATGAATTAACTAAAGAGAGAACAGGTTAGAATTCAAAAAGTGCTCTGTTCTTAACACCAATTATATTGAAATCCTGCAATAAATCACTAAGGCACAAACACGAGTTCTAACGCAAAATAAATCACCACCCGAATATTTGGTAAATAATCAACAAACAGTAAAAGCCCTAGCTTCAGGAAAAGCTACAAATTCTTTGATTCGACATCAGGAAGCAGAACATTTCATTCAGGACAACATGGAAACAATAAATTGCATATCATATAAATAAAAAAAATAAATTGGCGAACATGGGAAAGAAAAATTCACAATCAATTTGATGCAGAACAATGGAATCCCAGCTTAACAACTTCCTAAAACACTGCGTAAGCGAAAAGAAGAAATTGTTGTTTTTACCTTGTGGTCACAGTAGATTAATTTAGGGGTGATTTTGTTGCTCAGCATGCAAGATAACGATCTCGCCCAATCTTCCTTGGTTAGTGACTGTAAATAGAACAGTCCAAGTGAAAATATGAGCAAAGTATTGAGAAGGCTCTAGACATTTGAGTTTTTCATATCTATATTATAGGGTATGTTTTTTTTTTTTTTTTCCAATTTTTTTTCAAATTTTATTATTTAGATTTTTATTTTTTAAAAAAAAATATTTTTTTTTTTACAAAATATCTCATCAAATATTTTTTTCGTATCAGATTTTTTTTAAATTCATAAAAAAAAAACACACCCATAATTATTTATTTTTTGAAGTATTAAATTAAATATTCAGAAAAAATCAATTTTAGTCCAATAAATCTAAAATTAATTAATTTTAATATCAATATTAAAAACTTATTGATTTTAATCTCAATATAATCAATTTAAATCTATTTCAGTCTCAATGTAAAAAAAACTATCAATTTTTTAGTTCCATCCTTATCAATTTATCGGAAATTGCTAACTTGTATTTAAAGGAGCTTTAGTGGCTGGTGACATGGATTAAACAAGGCATGTGTCCCATAACGAAATGGTCTGGTGGGTAGGAGTTTTGTAACCCTAAGGTCATGGGTGTTGGCAGTTGCTGATTGTTCGCAACTTCTATTAGATTGATAACAGGGAGATTAAAATTAATTAAATTGGTTATATTATTACTAAAATTATAAATATTTTATATTTAAACTAAAATTTATTAATCTTGATTATACTTTACTGAAATCAAAATTAATTTTTTTCATAAATATTTATTTCATCCAATTACATTTATTTTTAGGTGAAATTTAAAAAATAATTTATTTTTTCTTCTGTTTATTAAAATTAAAAATATTTTTATATTGATATTTTAAAAAATATACCAATTGGGCCGAATAGAAAGTAGTTTCGACTAAGTTTGAAAAAATTTCAAAGAGAAATATAAATTAGTTTAGGGTTTTAGAAGAGAGGGCAGAGGGCGAGAGATAGGGAGTTTCCGACGAGATTTTGCGGTGTGCTTCGGTGAGGTTTAGAAGCCTTATCTCTGTCGGTATGAATCGGATTCGCCGGAGTCGATTCTATTCGTGTGTTCGAAGGAGACGACGCAGAGAACTACTGTCCGATGAGAGGAAGAAGCTGTTCGGTGCTATTTGAGAAAGAGGTTGCGCACTGCCGGTCGCCGAAAGGACTGCTGTCGCTGCCGATTGCCGCAATCGCCGTCGTTTGTCGCGACGAGGAAGAACAGATTGAATCTGTTTTTCTATTTTGGCAATGGATGTCGTCGTCATACAAACAGATACGGACACAAACAAGAAATTCGTTTCAATTCAATTAAACTTAATCCTGCTTGTTTGCATTTTGATTTCCCCTATTTTGATTATTTTTAACTAATTTGACTGATTAAACTAATTTCACCCTTTCTCCCATTAAGAAAATTGCGTATTTGAGAACAAGGTATAACTTACTGTTTTTTTTTTTTTTTTTTTTTTTTCTTGAAGAAAGAGATCCTAAGTTCTGATTTGTTTATAAACCAATAATTATTATATTTGCTTACCCTGAATTCCCTCGATTAAGCGTGATCATGTTTTAATGTTTAAATCGATGCATGAAATTGTAATTGTTTTTTTTTCTAACATTTGGTATTTGTCTCATATCATCTGTACGTGCGTTTATTAATCTTAGCATCAATACTTGTTGTGTTGGATCAAATTCATGGCTGCCTAGATCAATTTTAATTAATTAATTAATTAATTAATTAATTAATTATTATTTTTTGTGTTTTCAAGAAAAGTAAATAAATGAATAAATTTTTGCTTATTCACATTGTTCTGATGAGCAAATTATTAAGATACTTACCGCAATCAATTTGGAAAACTCAGTGCACTGTTTGTCTATTACAATATATTATATTAATCCCTCCGTCGTAAAAATGTGTTCTAATTTGACTCGGCACGTTTTAAGAAAAATAGGTAAAAATAAATATATTTTTTTAGGATAAATAGAAAAAGTGGTACTTTTTTTTTTTTTTTGCTAAAAAGAGAAACGAGAATAAATTTAAATGACATTAAAAAAAAAGAAAAAATAAATAAATAAATTTTGATGACATATGAAATATGTTATTTGAAATAAAATTTAAATATGCAACAAAGAATGTTGCTCCAGTTCTTGTGATTCATTTATGTCGGTGCATGTTCGTACTTCTATAAATATAGTTATGTTTGTAACTTGGATTTTATATTGCAGCATGATATATGTGATTCAGTTCTGATTAATATTTAAAATGTTTTATTAATTTAAATTTTAATTAATTAGGGATAGCCAGAACATCCCCAATTAATTAAAATTGAATTTATTTAAAATCACATTAATAAATATTGATTGTAATTATCATATATAGTATAATGAGATCTACCTGCAGGAGTAGTTTTATTGTTAGATTTTGTTTGAATTTAGTTGAGCAACACTTTAGCCCATAGGCAAATAAATTATATATTCTACCCATATTTTGACATGTACACATTGGTAGAATATATAATTTATTTGTTTCGTTTGATGAATATGTTATATGTATATTTAATTTTGCAGTATTTAACCCTATGAATTTATGTGCCGTTAAGTGTAGAATTTTCTTTCACCTAAGTTGGATGGACATTGATTATGTTATTCGGAAAGACCAGCCGTCAGGTATTACTGAAATTAGTGAGCCAGATGAAGTGGATCTTTATAAATGATGGAGAGATCTAACTGTCTTTCCATGATGCTCATAAAGATCACGATATCTGTTGGTGTCCATGCGTCTGTCGATTAATATACTAATGTCAGAGAGCTTTTGAAAGACATTGACAAACAATTCGTCAAATCTGATAAGGTGTTTGCCAGAATGCTGATTATTCAATTCTTTACCGTAAAGCTTACTGGTGTGAGGGGTGTGCGCGAGTATATAATACGCATGGTGGCCATATGTGAGTTTTTTCTTATTCACTATATTTTGTACATTTTGCCTCATCAATACGGTCCATTCAAAATATTCTACAACACACACAAGGATAAATGGTCCATCAACGAGTCGATAACTATGTGTGTCCAAGAGGAGGAGAAACTGTTCATAAAAGGAATGTGATAAAGTGAATATGACGGTTCATGACAATAAAATAATTCACGATGCAAATGTAGATGTGATACTTTTCTTTTCGAACCGGTTCTTAAACTTAGTACAATCTTTTTCCTTGTGCCCTTTTCGTTTACAGAAAAAACATAGAGACTTAATTCTTTATGATTCGCTCGGCAGGCACAAGTCCCTTACCCTTTGCATCGTGCTTTTTTTTTTTTTTTTTTTTTTTGCCATGAACCGTCAGGTTTACTTTATGACATTCCTCCATCAACAGTCTCTCCTCTTCTTGGACACACATAATCATCAACCATTGATGGATCATTTATCCTTATGTGTGTTGTAGAATATCTTGAATGGACCGTATTGATGAGGTATGGTGCACAAAATATAGTGGATAAGAAATGACTCAAACATAGTCATCTCCAAGGATTTCAGTTGCGCCGCAATATCCCGCATGCGCATTATGTGCTCGTCCACACCCATGAGCTTCATGATGGAGAACTGAATAATGAGCGTGCTGACACAAGCCTTATCAGACTTGACAAATTGTTCTTCAATGGCCTTCAAAAGTTCTCTGATATTATTATGTTGCTCAACAAACTGGCGGATACCAGCAGATATCTTAGTTTTTATAAGAATCATAGAAAGATGGTTAGATCTCCGTAGGTTTAAATCGATGTATGATGGATGAAGAAGCTGTTTGGTGCTATTTGAGAAAGAAGTTATGCCCTGCCGGTAACCGAAAGGATTGTTGTCGCTCTCGCAGTTCGTTGGAGAAGAAGTCGCTGCCGTTGTTCGTCGGGATGAGGAAGAACAAATCTGAACTGTTTTTCTATTTGGCATGTATACGAACAGAGGACATAGACAAGAAGTTCAATTCAATTGGATTTTGATTTCTCAATTTGCTTTTTGCCTTCAATATTTGCTTGCTTTTCTTTTTCGATTCGGTTGTATATTATTTTGGTTTACTCGATTATTCCTCTGCTAATTAATTTGTAATAACGAATGCGTTTATTTTTCAAATGATTCATATCGTAAAGTGTATCCAATCTATCCTCCGGAGGAGGTTTCGATTTTTTGGGAATATCTTAGTGAATGAATTAGTAGTTGTTATTTTACGAGACATTGTTCAAATAAAGTCATTGATCCGAGATATAATGTCTATATTGTTAATATGAGTAGTTTATTTAATTTATTTAACTTTTATTTACTCTCGGATGATAATTTTAAATAACCTAATATTGACTCATTTATACACGAAAATTGACATAGTACCAACTCAAAAGAAGTATTTATCTTTTATTTTATATGCTCTTTTCCTTCGGATAATTATGTCATTTGTTTGAATGAAAATAAAAATAATAGTACTTTAGTGAGATATGGGTTAAACAAATAGTGACGATTATTATTTGTTAAAATAAAAATATTAAAATTATAATCGAATAAAATTATTTATATAAATATATTATTTGAATGTTTAAAAGACATTAATATTTTTTTTTTTTACTCATATATATATACATATATTAACTGTTGTGAATAGAAATCAAAATATAATAAAGAATCGGAAGAAAATTGCTCGATGAAAGGAGACTCAGATAGCAGCCACTCATCCCCAGTCCTATGACGTCCTCTCCGAGTTGACCTACAAAAGTGTCGATTGTGGTGGTTCCCAATACCCACGAACCCTAGGACGATTCTTGCAAAGTAGCAAAGAAAATGAATTCGTTTGAAATTGACACAAAGTGGCTAGGCATAGGTCGTGTATTCGTCGCTCACATCCAAAGAGTATCTCACTGCGACATTTTCTCCAAAGATCCCAAACCCATATATAGAGAGGAAGGCAAGACGGATAGACCCCAGGAAGGTAAGAAACAAACTCACCTTATAGAGTATTGGATAAACTCAATCGGAATCGAAGAGGAAGGAGATCGGCATCGAGATTGGAGGAACAAATGTTGGGACTTCTTCAATCGCGAACAGAGTCAGAGAAGATCGGTTCTGATTTTAAGATGGGTTTGTAATTAAACAAACCGGGTCGGGTCGGGTCGGTTATGAATTCGGGTTGGACCGGTTCGTGGGTTAAGCCTAAACACACCATCATTAACATTATAGCTAGAACTATTATGCTAATACCTATTATGTATTTACTAACTATTTGAAAATGCTACAACTATTTATTATAACTACTAAAAATTTATGAGGCTATCAAAATAATTCAAAAAATATACCAACAGAATAATTATAATAAAAAAATAATGAAAAATAATTTCAAAAAAAAATCCAAAAAAATACAAAAAATAATGAAAAATAATTTCAAAAAAAAATCCAAAAAAATACAAAAAATAATAACAACGTATTTCAAGAATTATTTAATCACCACTAAATACATAGCCAATCAAGAACAAAATTTTTAGCATATTATTATCCATATTTTCACAAAGAAAAATATACCGAAAAAATAAAAGAAAAGAAGGTTTAACCTTTTATTCACATATTGAGTTTTATCAAACTCAAACCGTAATTTTTTTTTTAGCTAGCAGTCGAACCCGCTGTTTGCCCTTATCCTTCAAGCCAGCGATAAAGTACCATAACGATTGAGCTTCAGGAAGCCGTGGAACCAGGGAAAGAAGATAGTCGAAATCATCGATATAATCATAAATCGAATCAGATTGTTTAATAGTCGCTAACTATTCATATGTGTTTTGAACTTCTAATCCACTAAAACATTGAAGCAATTCAACTTGAAAATGATCTTATGAAATACCTTCATGAACCTGCCTCACGACTGTGAACCAATGTTGTGCAACCCTAGTCATGCTTAATTGAGCCAATCGTAGAGGAGATGTGATGGGGTGCCATTGAGATAAAAAAAAAAAAAAAAAACAAATTAGCTTTCTGGATCTAACTTTGAGGGTCAAATCCATATATTTCAGGTAATTTTACCTTCTTTACAGCCCAAGGTAAAATTGTTGTTGGTTTGGGAGGAATATGATCACCTTCAGCGAAACTGTTATCCCCACTAGCGGTGAAAATGTAACTGAATGTAGAACCACCACTTGCATCCTGGGATTGTGGTTGTTTGTTGTTTGACCCAACCTAACACGACTTTCCGAAATTTAGCAGAATCAATCTGATCGGCCTCCATAACATATTTGATTTGAGCATCGTCTTGGATATGCTCTTCATGTTGCTCAATTTAAGCTTGAATAAAGCGAGTTTCCATTAAAATCGAAGGGAATAGCATAAACGGAACATTAACAGCAGGTCAAACCAATAATACGCATGAGAAAATTAAATACAACAAGAAAATGAAATAAGAATACGATAGAGGAATTAAGAAGTTATATTGAAATTAGAGGAGTTCACTATCTCACAACCACTAAGTTGGAGCGTGAATACAAATAAGCCCAAAATATCATAATGAATATCAAATCTAAACCTCCACCTCTTTTATACTTCTCTCTAATGTAACAACCTCTAGCCACTTTGGTTATTTATCCTTTTAGCCCTTCTAGAATACACGTGTAGTATCCTTTACGTATTACTCTAATTGCTACTTAATTATGGTTATGTATAAGTATTTTAGTGTGCCCAAATTCCATTCAATATTATTCGTGTGTTCCATCCAATTAAAAGCACAAATAATACACATTATGTGCCCAATGACTGCAATCCTTGTCCCATGATTTTTCGTCGGAATGGCAGTAATTTTAATAAATTAAAGTTTTGATCAAATTATAATTTTTAATAGTCTCAATTCTCTATTGTGGCTACTGTGGCAACGATCCACAGTTGTTATGGCAATATCTTTTTATGAAGACAATCCTTTGTAGTGTTGGTGGCGCTAAATCATTGAAAAAGTAAATTATAATAGGTGGAAACTCCGGATAAGTAATTGAATATCAAACCAAAATTTTGATAAAATAATTAGAAGCAATTTGACAAGTAAAAATATCTCAATATGTTGTTGCCGAAAAATTCTAGCAATTGAACGCCGAATGCATTTGTATATGCAGCCAAAGTCGGTGGCAACAAAATTATTGAATGTGTTGACTAGTATTAACCAAATATTAACCAACTGGAGACGCTGCAAATCTCCTGATAAAACAATATTGATTGTGTTCTTTTGACGGTTTGATTCTCAAATTTACTGTAGTGACACAACACACTTTCACTAATTTGATACTATTTATTTTAAAAAAACATCACATCAAATATATTTTTCTCTCACAAAATATCAAATCAAAGGACGACCTATCGGTGCAGCAACATCACCGGTCAACAGCCATCAAAATAACATACCCTCTGTACTACAATCAAATTTGTGTTTGTATTAAAAAAGATTGTGAGTAAGAATATATTGATAGTTTTAATATTAACTACAACATTTATTATGAACATTATATAAAAATATATTATATGTTAAAATAAAAAAATCAAATATTTAAATTATTTATTTATTTTAATTTTAATTTATAATTATTTTTACTAAATAATAATTATTTTTATTATTTTTATTAATACACTTTTTTAATTCCTTTGCTTATTATACTTTAACAACTTTCAATATATGAGAGTGAGGGAGGGAGTAGAATAGAAGACAAGAAAGAATGAAAGAACTTTAATACGGTGGCCAACTGTAGCGTAGCACACACAGACACAAGCATCTCTAAAAGCGGAGAATTTGACCCGTTTCCTGCTCAGTCTTGACTTGTTTGTTCACATAAGCAATCCATTTCAAACACTTGTCCCAAACGTATAATTGCATCGCATTTGCATCTTCCCGCACGCCAAACATCTGATTTCTTATACTGCTAGCTTCTTCTTCTTCTTCTTCTGATTCTGCAACGTATCTAAAGGGAGAGGGAGCTTCGCCCCTCTCTCTTTCTTTCTATATGCGATTGCTATTGACGCAGGGCAGCGATTTTTCAACGATCTTGAGTCGCGTTGGGCAATGGAAGACAAGGGAGATGTGGGAAATTCGCGGCACGATTTAATTGAAGGGACGCCGGTTTTTGTGAAGGAGCTGATTGCCGGCGGGGTTGCCGGTGGATTCGCCAAAACTGTTGTTGCGCCGCTCGAACGCGTCAAGATTTTGTTTCAGGTATTTTCGAATTACTGGACAATTTGTTTACAACGCAGGTGTTCTGAATTTGGGGATGATTATCTGTGCCCTAGTTTAATTGAGGAGATTATTGTTCTTGTTGGAATTCGGATTTAGGTCAGGCTGGAGTGAAAAATCCTGTGTTCTAATGTGTTGATTTTGATACTTTTACTATTCTCTTGATGCTTCATTAAGCTTCAGATTCTTTTGTTCGATATGGAATTGTTAAGATTTGTCAGTTCTTGAGTAATCAATATGGAGGTATCAATCATTGTACATCTCTTTGAAAATCAAGAAAACCATTCATTCACAATGTTTGCTTATTTTTGGTGGATTAGAACTTAGAAGGACAAGATTCTGTTTACATTTGATTCGATGCTTTGTATTTCTGCATGCGCACGCACGTCATATGAAGGGTTGATAAAATTGAGTGTAGGAGTAATAGCATTGAGTATTTGTCTCATTGTATTGGCGGTCGAAAAGTATGGTGCTTGCGGATGAACATAGGCATTATTGCAGCGTCCAAGTTCATCAATAAGTTGGAACATCTCTCATTTTGCATGATTGGTTTGCATTCTTGTGAGGAATGTGATTGCTGTATGTATAGAAACTTTTATATTTTGATTACTGTTTTTTTTGTAAGAACTTAAAATGAATTGACCTTTTGGATGGATTTACCTAATAAAACATTCTCAAGTTCAATTTGATTCCCTGCAAGTTTCAATAATTTGGCCTGTTGAAATTATTACAACTTTGTTTCTATATGTAAATGTCAGGATTGTGCAGTAGCCAAGAAAATGCCACAGAAATGAAAATTACAGATATAAAAACTCATTACAATTGTGCCTACGATAGTTTTGTTGGATGAATACAATTAAGCTGAACACACAAGCGAACTCATTATATTTCTTGGAGTAAAATATTATAATCCACTGTTTCATAGAAGTCCTTGGCCTAATTTACCTTTTTGTAAATATTGCTTATTTCATTGTGAAATCTTCTTACATAGACTACCTTTTTGCATTGTCGAAAGAGGTTAGACAGATGAATCTCTTTCTGTGGTGGGTAATCTCTACATCAGCGCGATCTTCACTGTGTTCAGTTTATAGATAGTTTCGACAAGCTTGTGTGAAACTCATGCTGTTGCGTATTGATAGAATCCCAGAATTTGTTACCTGCTTGTGTATGAAGCGCAACTTTCTTTAATGGACTTTTTGCCGTAGATACACGAATAGTTTGTAAAATGGTATGCTAACAATTGTTGTAATAACTTTATTACCCAGACAAGAAGAGCCGAGTTCCATAGTGTTGGCCTGCTAGGATCTTTCTCGAAAATTGCCAAAACTGAAGGGGTGCGTGGATTTTATAGGTAGGTACTTTGTCGTAGTTGTATTCGTAGCAACTTTAAGGAATCATATTTTGTAATTCAATTCTATTGTTATTCATACTAAGCATATTCATACGGTATTTTCTCAGAGGGAATGGAGCAAGTGTTGCTCGTATTGTACCTTATGCAGCATTGCATTACATGGCCTACGAAGAATACCGAAGATGGATCATTTTAGGTTTCCCCGATGTCTGGAGAGGTCCTGTCCTCGATCTTATAGCCGGATCGTTTGCTGGGGGGACAGCTGTTCTATTCACTTACCCTCTTGATTTAGTTCGCACAAGATTGGCCTATCAGGCAAGTGTCAAGAAAACATACATTTTACCACAATCGATATTCCATGCTACAGTTTATGTAAAACCAAACAATGATTTTAACAGTGATGCGCAGGTTGTCGAATCCTCAAAAACCAGTGTCAAATCGCATGCTTCGAGAGAGCTCGTCTACAGAGGAATCTTGGATTGCTTCTCTCAGATATACAAAGAGGCCGGAGTAAGAGGTCTCTACCGAGGTGTTGGTACGTTACTGCTGTTCCTCATTCATTTTCGGGAAAATTGTTCATAATCCACTTATGTTTTGGAAAATCTACGCCATTTGTCTTTTTTTCATAATCTAGAAATTGCACGAAACTCTATCGGGTTTTAAAATATATTGCATAGAATCGTTTTAAGCAAGTTTTAGGATATTTGGTGCAGAATTTCCAAACTATAAGTGGATTATAATCAATTTTGTCTTTATTTTCGATGATAATTACATTTCCATGGCTTGTTTTCTCAACCCGGATTCGTTTCTCCAGCGCCATCGCTGTACGGGATCTTCCCCTACGCGGGATTGAAATTCTACTTCTACGAGGAAATGAAACGCCACGTCCCCGAAGATCACAAAAAGGATATCACTGTTAAACTCGTCTGTGGCTCCGTTGCCGGTCTACTAGGCCAGACTTTCACTTACCCTCTCGATGTTGTCAGACGCCAAATGCAGGTAATAACCTTCTTCCTCCCAATCGACAATTCCTTCAAAACTCTGTTTCCAACAGCTTCAACTATCATGGTCAACTTTATGCAACAAAAATTCAACAAATATGACATCGACAGGTTCAGCGACTCGAATCCGGAATCAGTGCAAAGAGAGGGACATTAGAAACTCTTATCACGATATTTCGAACACAAGGATGGAAACAACTCTTCTCGGGGCTTAGCATCAACTACTTGAAGGTGAATACGAAATCGATACTCTCTTCATTGTTATTGACTCTTAATAAGCAATTGTATATTGTAGGTTGTACCTTCAGTAGCAATTGGTTTCACCGTCTACGATCTCATGAAGGCGTCGCTGCAAGTTCCGCCGAGGGATGAAAAAACAGCTCCTGCGGGCGGCGTAGAGTTCGAGAAGCGACCGAACAGCCAGAGTTCTTCGTCGCTGCCGTTGTCCCAAACTCAGCAATGACCATTTTGTTGTTTGATTCCAAACTGGTGAGAATTCAATGCAATTTAATCACCATTGTTGAATTTGCAGAAATTTGTGAAGGAGGTGAGGCGTGTATATAGTGAAAAGGGGATATATTTGTTAATATAGGGACATTCTAATAATAAACATATAATATGATACGAAGAGTAGGTCCCACATAACCCCTAATATTTTATTTTTTCTTTTTGGAAAGAGCTTTGCTTATACGGATACTTTTAGGGTGTGTTTGTTTGGGGGTTTGGATTTTGGATTGGGATTTGAATAGTAAAAATTTTGAATTTAAATAGTTGTATGATGTGATATAAATAGGGTTTGATGTGATGTTTTGAATGTAAAATTGATTTTTAGTATAATATAAAAAATGAAAAATAGGTGTTTGATTTGATGTTTTTGGGGGGGAAAAAATTGGATGAATAGTGAAAATTCTCCAAAATCCTTCAAACAAACACACCCTTAAAGATTTTTACACAGTTTTTTAAAAATCTATACATAAGTTATCTTTATGTGTTGTTGTCTAAAGTTTTAAAGTTGTATTTTATTTATTTATTGGGTGCAAAATTAGTTCAAACTCTAATTAGGCACGTCAATTGGATAAATTATTTCTATTTATTGTGAGAAATATTTCACACGCATAATCCCAAAAAATAATTATTAACTCAAAATCACTCAATATAAAAAAATAAAAAATAAAATAAGAATATAATATATCTTAAAGTATTGACACTTAAAATTATAATGAGAGAACTTCGAATTCTAATAAATTACTTGTTCAGCACTCTACCCGCTTGCTGCTTTTGCTGCATTTATTATTATTATTTTTAATTTTAAATAGAAAAATTCAAATATTACATTTATTTGGTATTTATAATAATTATAATTTAATAAAATATATACAATATATATCATTTTGTATAAAATAAATTTTTTTATAATATAAATAAATAAAAATTTAAAAATATATATTGAATACAATATAAATACATAATAAAATTATACTATCATTAATTTTATCAATTAAATTTAATATATATTTATATTATCATATTTATTACCCATCAAATTAATATTATCACAACTTTCCAAATTCAAATCAAATCTACGTACAAAAGAACACATAAATTCAAACCTACTGTAAAATTCAAATAAAAACAAATCTCAAATTTTCCCAAACCTACCTTAATAAGCATACCCATGTATTTTAGAAAAGAAACACTCAATCCTGGCTATAGAGTGTAGTGTACCGTACCATCTCTTTTCCCCACACATCTCTTTGACTCCCAAACCCAATGCAACTCCGGCAGCAGCAGCAGTTGACTCACTTGACCATGTAAGCTGCGCCGGACTCAATGGCAGCGCCGCCGACCCCCAAAGAATCCACGGCTGCCGGAAGGATGAAAAGAGAAGATTACAGGAGAACCAATCACGACTCCGCTTTCACCGATTGGAAGGTCCGTCCGTCTCAACCAAATTTAAAACATTACACTACTGTTTATGAGTTATTTATGTGCTGCAAATTGCAATTTCCCTAAATATTACCATTTCTATTAGCTATAATCGCTTGTTTATGGTAACAAAAGCGCCTCTTATTACTCTGCTTCTTCTTTCTAGACATTAGAACAATGACAAGCCTAGTCTCTGATCTGTGATTGTGGGGCGTGTTAAATGCGATAGTTTCTCCATAGGGAAATTTCTTCCTTCTTTTTGGTTTTAATTATAATTCGTTAGGCTGAAACTTCTCCTTGTACCTTTGAGGAATTTGAAATTTACCATTAATTTTGCTTATAATTTTTGTCAATTTTAGTGTGATGGGATTTATTGCGACTGAAAAGATATTTCGAAATTTTTGGTATACCAAATTGTATACTTCCCTATACCATATCGAAAATTTATAGCTGTACAGCATAAGAAAAGTTTTATGTAAACCACAAAACTTTTGGGGAGAGAGCAAAGGAGACAGTTGGGTGAATACCTAAGGAAGTGTTTGGATATTTAGTTTAGGGTTTATATTAGGGATAGTAATATTATACTTAAGGGTGCGTTTACTTTGAAATATTAGATAATAATATCTATATTATTTCTATGGATTAATGGAGCTAGCTTTAATCCATTATAGTAAGCATGTGATTAGAGTGGAATAATATTATCCATCCTAATAATCAAAGTAAACACACCCTAATAATACTATAGGGTATTGAAGCTTTTGGTGTCTGTACTTAAAACATCAATATATAAAAAATTTCAGTAAATTCGGTATTTTTCAATATGTTAAGTTCAATATCTCGAAATATTTGATATTTTATACAACCCTAATGGTGCCTAGTTTAAATATGAGTAATATAGAGTGACCTCAATGGATTCATAAGGACATAATTTGAACAAAAATGTGTGTCCATTTGTTAATCCCAACAGCCACCACCTTGTACCCTGTTTTAAATTAATGTTCTTAGTTTTCTCCAAAAACAAAAGCAACAAAAAAGTTCTCGGTTTTAGACTCGATTTATCTTGAGTGCGCCGTTGGATTATCGCATAGTTAAATTGGTGTTAATTTGGAATATGAGTGAATTGCAACCATTTTGATAAAGAGTCTATTGTGCGATCCTATACACTTTACTTAAAAAACACAATGTATTTATACAATACATACACATAACAATAAAAGTCAACAGAAACACACAGAAAACATCGTTTCTTTAATATTTTCACCATTCTCCATACTTCACAATATAAATACCTAAAACTATAAAACTAAACAAACACACTCTTGATTCCCTATCCCTATTTCACCCAAATTCTCAACAATTCTTTAGCTGAATTTTTTTTTATGTCTTCTGGTTGAAGGTGTTCTAGTCTATTTATGAAGAACTTTTTAATTTAGGTCGATATTGATTTAAAGATATTTTTAAGGCAAACAATGTAATTTATTAGCTGATTCACTTTTATTCTATATGCAGAAGAAATTGCTTTTTACATCTTGTTCTTTAATATCTGTTTAAGCTCTTGGTTTATACGATCTACTTGTGAATGGACGGAAATGGTAGCTTTAGATGCATTCGAGATCAGCTTTAAGTTTTCAGACCTGTAAATTGCATTTTTACTACTACACTCCTAGTTCTAATGCATTTTTTTTAACTAGATTCTTGTAGGACCTTTCGATTGGGAGGAACATGAAAAGGGGAAAGAGGGAGCCGAAAGGTATAGGGTTCAGAATCTTCCAAATTTGACTCCTTGCCCAGGTGTTTATGAGCTTGGTATAGGTGTGTCGAGGCTGGAATCTGGGAGAGAGCCTCGTAAATTTGATTCGAGCTGTGTATTACCTGTTTATGTTGGACAAGCTGACAATCTGAGGTATAGACTTCAGAGGTACGGCCGTGATGGTGCACATTTGGAGAATGGATGTTCGAATCGGAAGTTTACAGACACTGAGTGTGTTCATACTTATAATGGTCCTGGACTGTTTACACTTACATTCTCAAGAGGATTCCCAATTCTTTATAGATATGCTATCGTAAGTATTGGAATTCCATCCTCGATCGTACATTTTATAACATTAAGATGCTTAAAAATTTTCCGAATTTCATTTGGCAGATGCAAAGTAAGAAGGAAGCGGAGATGACTGAGAAAAAGATGCTGGAAAATTTTGATTATGCATGGAACAAAGGGGGAAATGGCGTGCGCCGTGATGATGATATTTTCCAAAAATTACAAGACCTTTCGAAAGCGTCGAGGTTTTATCTTCTAGCAAAGAAGCTCCTTGATTTCAACCAGAAGCCAGTAGGCATCAAAATCGAAAATCTTGAAACAGACTCATGTAAGAATGGTTCCAATACAAGTGATACAAACAATGGAGTAACTTTCTCGAAGATATATGGAATTAAGAAGGTGAAGCCCGAACAAGTACAAAACGGCTGCTCTGATCATGTCCCTGATATCTGCGGAGTTGTGTCTAATGGATCGGTTTGCACTGCACCGCCTGTTAAGGGTAGAAAGCGATGCGCCGAGCACAAAGGAATGAGAGTGAAAAGCTCAAATTCTAAACCGGTTACAAAGGTGAAAACTTCTTCGAACACTGCAAACCTGGATTCTAATTTTCAAGATCAGCCTTATATTTATGAGGAATCGAGCAATGACATTGGTCCTATCTGCGGATTTGTCTTGAATGATGGATCACCTTGTCGAAGAAAGCCTTTTCAAAAAAACAAAAGGTGTTTGGAGCATAAGGGAAGAAGGATACGTAAAAGCTATGGGATGTGAAACAAATCCATTCTTTCTTTGGATGATGAGGTTAGTTAATTAAATTTTGTGCATTGACAAGTAGCTTGGAGTAGACAATGATAAGATAAAATTGTGTTTATATATATTTGATTGGTTGTTGGGAGCTTAATTTAATTTAATAGAATTATTGTGAACTTGAAATGGGCAAATATTTGGATATCTCCAAAAGATTAACTGACTTGTTCCAGGTAAATTTTTGATCGAACCTAATATCTTGCAAATTAGGCTCGATAAGTCACACTAGGCAAACCATATGTGGCAGATGAACCTAGAGGCGTCGGGGTTTGAACAATTGAACCTATGATTTTACGGTCACAAGTTTACTCCACACCACCGGATTATTCCTTACGGATCAGTAGAACTATTCTTGTGGATACCGATGAGAAAACATGAAAAATAGGAAATCGGTAATCCAAACCTAATTATGTGTTTGAGAATAATTTAAAATTTAAACTTCATGATTGATCATTGTGTGGTTAATTTAATTCCATGTGAGGTTAAGATATTTGGTTTGTGAGGACATTCAATGATCCTTTGGATCTTTGCTTGAAGTTTTACTTCTTATCATTTGTATTATTATATATGATAATGATATTTTATTACTGCAATGTCACCGGTTTGAATCCCCCTTAGCCTTTTAGTTGAGAGTCACGTTAGACGAAATTCTATCCTACATCAAATCATTACATCATTTGTGGGGTATTAGCAATTTGCTGTACTAAATTTGACTGTCTTTTCAATTTGTATTCCTATAATATTAATTTCGAAAAAATGTCCCTTTTTTACTAATATGCTCAAAATTCAGTCTAAACGCTAATTAGAGGAATATTAAGGGTAATTGAAGAACGTCGTTGGCGGAGTGGAGTAATCACGTGCCACCCACGTGACCCTTCATCATTAGCCTGAAACGGTTCTCCTTAGACCAAGTTCTCCACCGAACCTGGAGTAATCACATTGGCACGCTGTTGCTGACATGGCGCTTATGCAGTTGACATGTCATCACCACATATTTTTCATGTCAGCGATATGTGAATTTTTATTATTACTATTTTTTTAATTTTACAAAATATTTTGGTAAACTATTTTTTAGTTCCGTATATAACATCTTTTATTATTTTTAGGATTTTAAATAAATTATGTCTGAAAATAGTTATGCAAGTAAAATTTTCTTACTAAAATAGTCCTTCGAAGTCGCATCTACATGGAGATGACATATCAATTGCGTCAGCACCAGCGGACGAGCATTACGAGTCCGGCATCGAATTATGGTTTTAGCAAAATACTTTTACTTACAGAATCTTATACAATAATAAATATTAAGTTATTTTATCATATAATTATATAATTATTACAATAGTATTATAATCCTATTATGGGAAGTAAACATATCCAAAGTACGTAGTGTCTTTACTTATGTGCGCCACTAAAAAATAATACTAATAACGATGAAAATATATTTACAAATTTAATAATATTTACGAAAATCTCCGCCACAATTAATAAAATATTAAAAGATATGGACAAAACAAATTCGAACCTATTCTCCTAACCACTCATCAAATTTCCTCTGTATATAAAACTCCCTCAAAATCCCCAATTTTTGTAGTCAGTCTATCCGTCCCAATGCCGGCCGGGGAATTCTTCCACCCATCGCCGCCTCCGCCGCCGCCGGGGTCGGCGGAGGAAGAGAAATGGGTGTGGAATCAAATCAAAGCCGAGGCTCGTTGCGACGCCGACGCGGAGCCCGCCCTAGCCAGCTACGTCTACTCCACAATCCTCTCTCACTCCTCCTTGGAGCGATCTCTCTCCTTCCACCTCGGCAACAAGCTCTGCTCCTCCACTCTCCTCTCCACGCTGCTCTACGATCTCTTCCTCAACATCTTCTCCACAGACGCGTCCCTCCGCTCCGCCACCGTCGCCGATTTACGCGCCGCCCGTTTCCGCGACCCTGCCTGCGTTTCCTTCTCCCACTGCCTCCTTAACTACAAAGGATTCCTCGCTTGCCAGGTAATTTTTCCACTCCTCGCGACTTCTGATTAATTGCTTCCGATTTCAGTTGATTTGATTCGCCGATGGAATGGATGAACTGTTTATTGCTCTGATTTTGGGTGAATCTGTTGCCGAATCATCTATGGTTTTCTTATTTACTGCTAACTAATTTCTAGGGCTTTTCACATCTTTGTCTGTGTTCCCTATGAAATGTTGTGTGGAAATTTGGGGATAGATTTTGTCACAGAACACGACAGGGAAAACATTCCATTACTTTTTAAAAGATTATTACTCAGTCTATCACCTGTCCCACCTCACACTGTATGCCATTTTACTATTTAGGTTAGTCTTACAATTCAATTATCGATTTAGTTTTGCCATTCACTTTTCAATCTTGACCCACTAAACCCAAGAATATTCTAAACCTTCTCATTTTACATAAAACTCAAAATAGCACACCAATATAATAATAGTATTAGATCAAAAATCTTTTGGCACAATCCATGTGGTACGGATGGATGGAGGATCATTTTCCTTTTTCTGTTATCCAAAAGTCTATAGGTGAAAAATCATACTCCCAGTCATGTAAATCTGTGCTTAAATAGTTTGATACGAGCTTTAATAAAAGTTGATAATAATTATTATTTGTTCTTTGTTTTAGAGTAAAAAAATATTAAAAAAAAGATACCTATTGGTAAACATCCATATTTATATGTTTATGGTTTGGGTTTCAAATCCAAATCTTCATTATTCAAGCTAAGTTCCAATTAAAATATATTTCTTCTCAATCTAAGTATATATGATTTGGACTTATCACAAACTTTAGTAGTTTACATGAATTTGGAATATTTCATGTGAAACTTATCACTTGCAACTGTGAAAAGTATTCCAAGCATGTTTGTAGGATTATATGGTGAACTAGCTACAATGCTTGTTCCTAATTAATGTTAGGCAATTTAGTACTTATAGGCGATGTTAAATTTTTTCTGACTTATTCTGAAGTTTGATGGTAGTTCCTCCCCAACCTTCTTTCGTCCTCAAGTTTATTCACTTGTTTATAAGAGCTCTTGCCGTAGGTTCTTGTTGCGTTCGTTTACTTCATGAAATTGTCGATGTTTTAAATTTAATTTGCTGAAGAATTCATATGCAAATGTCTTTCGGGCTTGCTCGTAATTACACCTACTTTAAGGCGCATCGAGTAGCACACAAGCTATGGACTCAGTCGCGAAAGCCTCTAGCACTAGCGCTTCAATCCCGCATCTCGGATGTCTTCGCGGTCGACATTCATCCTGCCGCCAAAATCGGGAAAGGCATCCTCTTTGATCACGCAACGGGAGTCGTAGTAGGCGAGACTGCCGTGATCGGTAACAATGTCTCGATTCTCCACAACGTAACTTTAGGTGGAACCGGCAACGTGGGCGGCGACCGGCACCCGAAGATTGGCGACGGTGTACTGATTGGCGCTGGGGCGACAATTCTGGGAAACGTGAGAATTGGGGAGGGCGCGAAGATCGGTGCAGGGTCGATGGTTCTTATCGACGTGCCTCCGAGAACGACGGCGGTCGGGAATCCGGCGAGATTGGTGGGCGGAAGGGAGCAGCCGAGGAAGCACGAGGAAGTCCCCGGTGAGTCGATGGATCATACTTCGTTTATAACTGAGTGGTCAGATTATGTGATATGATAAGAGTGAATGGGTCTGATTGGAATTTAAATTTATACAGTAAGGTTTGTATTTTGATGCAATATAGGTTATCTTAAATAGAATTGGATTAGTTAAATAAGTTTTTAAGTAAAAGTATTAGTTCCTCAATCATTCAAATGTTTGTTCAAAACTTTTGGGTATATATATTGTAGCTAGATGTGTACTTTTTGTTGATTTTTTTATTTTTACAGTAAAAATAACAAGAAATGCTCCCTCCGGAAGAAAAATGAATATTTTATTAAAATTTAGTTAGAAATTAAAGTAAATGAGAGAAATAATACAATAAAGTTAATAATATTTGCTGTAAATAAATATTGGATATAGAATAATAATTAAATGTTGATTTGTTAATTTTGCCGAAATTAATAATGAAATTAATTGTGACTGACTAAAAAAAAAGTGAGAATAAATTTGGCCGGAACGAGATAATATGATTTTTTTAATTTTTTTTTTTTTTAATGACAATATAGATTTAAATAACAAGAACTGTGCAAGCTTGACATATAAAGTGGTTGCGATTACTGTATAGGAACACAATACAATTTTGTTCCATAAGGGATGACCTAGTGGTGTGGGGTGGACTTATGACCATGAAGTCATGGGTTTAGCCAAAAATTTATCCAAAGATAACATCACATAAGATTAATGTTTGCTCGTAAAATATATCTATACTGCGCATTCTATATAGAGATGTGTCCGAGCATATGCAACAATGAATTGTTTGTCTATTTATGATGTGCTAATTGTATGATTTAATCCAATAAGCTACGTAAATTGGTTTTGCAATGAAAAATTGGTTTTGTGATGAAATTTTCTAGTCACAGACGTTTGTGCACTCAACTTTGTGCCGCTCATTCTCCATGTTCTATTGTTTACACTCACCGGAGGAGCTAACAAAAGAAGAAGAACTCGGAGAATCAATAAAAGATGTTGACTAGCTCATAGACCAAAATCAAAATTATTTATAGTTTATAAACCAACTTGAGTTTGCTCAACAATATAGACAATATGAAAAACGGATTTGGGAAGAGGGACTTTGTGAAGATATCTGTAGTCTGATGATCAGAAGATCCACTACAAGAAATTATCAATTTTGTAACGAAATTTTTTCGTTTCTAAATTCATTTTTTCTGTTATTAATGATATTAGAGACAAAATTAGAGATGGAATTACGTTAGCTACGTGAACTTTAGGAACGGAATTCCGTTACAAATATACTATTTTTTTGTAGTGAGAGACATGAGATAGGTGGACAGTACATGCACGGACACGCTGTCAAACAAAGTGGCAATCAATCTCAATATGCTTGGTGCGCTCGTGAAAGACACGTTATAGGAGATCTGGGTCACGCTCGTGCTATCACAATGGAGAGAAGTGAAAGAAGGCTGAGGAACCCCGAGATCATTAAGAAGTCGACGAAGCCAAAGAAGTGTCTATTCCTTATTACGCCAAGAAATAAGTGTGTGTTCCTTACTTTGCATTGGAGCGAGAAACAAGTGTTCGTTTCTTACTACGCTAAGAAATAAGAAAATTCTCAAGTAAAAGTAATAACATATGATGGAACGAAGATCAGTGGGATCACCTGCCCAATCGGCATTAGAGAAATCAGCAAGGACCAATAGAAAGTCAACAGAGAAGTGAAAACCATGTAAAAGAGTACCCTTAACCATGTAAAAGAGTACCCTTGACATAGCGAAGGATGCGCAACACAACAGCGTAGTGAATTGTCCGAGGGTTAGTTATAAACTGACTAACAACATGACCGGCATGAGCTATGTCAGGGCGAGTGACCGTCAAATAAATTAGGGATCCCACCAACTATCGATAGCGAGAGGGATCCTCTAGGAGAGTGCCATTGAGAGGAGTACTCGGCAGTTCCGCTCGAGAGGGGTGGATGCAATCTGGCTATCAGTGAGGCATGATTGAGATATGAGATCAGAGATATATATCGCTTGAAATAGATAAAGAGCATTCAAAGCGTAAGAAATCTCAAGACCGAGAAAGTTGCGGAGCTGACCAAGACTCTTCATGTCGAAGTGTCGATGGAGGTAGGTCTGCAAATTAGATATAACAGAGGTGTCATCGCCGGTAATAACCATATCATCCACATACAATAAAAGAATAATGATCCTGCAGACTAACGACGAATAAAGAGAGCAGAGTCATAAGAGGATGCAGAAAAGCCATACTGAAATAGCGCAACACTAAACTTGGTGAACCAAGCTCGGGGTGTCTGCTTCAGTCCATAAATGGTACGACACAACTTACATACCAAGGTAGAACGGATTTTGGGCCTATGTTTGTATGACAACACAAGTTTAAAGTTCAAAAGTTTTGGCTTATAAACCTATCCGAATATGTCTTGTTGACATCTCTATTTTCACATTGTAAATTATAACATAAAAATTATTTACAATGTAGAGTAGTAATAAATTGATCAAAGTATGCCCTAATACATAGGACTAAGTATTTAATTTGATGATCGTAATCAGTACTTCATGATTTGGACGATGAGGCATGTGTGAAAATTTTGAAGAACTGCAAAGAGACCATATCAAAGGAGACAATAAAATTGATTATTATGGACAACATGGTCAACCACGAAAACCTTAAAAACATCCACAAGTACGAGGAGTATCATTTAGTAGTGGACATGGAAATGTTGGCTTTAACCATCATGGGAAAAAGAGGAATGCAAAAGAATGGGATGATGTTCTAAAATCGGTTGTTTTCCCAAACACATCATCAAATATATTCCAACACTAATCTCTGTCATCGAAGTTATACCTAGTTAATTTGTCATTCGAACTTTTTATTTGGCTAATTAAAAAACTAAAAATTGTTTAATAATAAGTCGAATGACTTGAACTTAAATATGACTTTCACATATGTAATTGAACAAATTTGATTTTGTATTTGTGGCCATTCACTAGAATATTAATATTTGTTAATATAGTGATTCCTTTCTATATATAATATAATAACGCAATTAGGATGTTAATTGAGACAAAAAAAGATGAAGGCAGATCGCATATATTTTTATATAGCACAACATGTAGTCTTGTCATATATAAGCATGTGTTGTGTAGTTTTACATTTGTATTGTACTATTTAAATATGCTTATTTGCTAAAATTAATAATATAGTGTGTTATCTAGAATTATATCATTTGTTGTCAAGATATGCACTATGTAAAATGATATTATGTGTTGTCTATCTTGATTATATGTACTGACAGGTCAAATCAGCACAATACTGATTTTGCACAATCAACACTCTAACCATTCCGAATAACAATAATTAAACAAAATAGTGTGTATTTTAAGCATAATTTACTACAAGAAAATAGAAATTTATGAAAGAATTTTTATTCTAAAAAAAAAAAAAAAAAAAACTTACACTATAAAGAAATAAAATAAATCGAAGATATGCCCAAAAAAAATAATTGATTGAACATACAGACACACAATTAAATTTGAAGAATCACATAAAGAGAATATCCAAGAAAACAACAGTTGTTTTATTGATTGAACATTCGACATTCATTTGAAATTTTCATTAAATCGATGTCGAGGGATACGCAACGATGACAGATTGAGGTACTGCTGATAAGTGTTTAATGGTGTGACGAGTGAATCCAGCCGATGTTAGAGCATTGGTCCATTCTTTCCATGTCCTCTCTCTTCCTTTGCTCGTATGTGCCATCATTGTCATGTCCAAAGCCATATGATAATCTCTGTGTTTGTTCTTATTAAGGTTGTCGACAACGTCGACCTCCTTATCATCATCGACCACAATATCCACAATTATCACTTTTCCGCTCTCCTTTGGAATTGCCTCCCCACAATTCTTCAAGATCTTCACACACGATTCATCGTCCCAATCGTGCAATACTGTCTATCACGAGATGTTATTTTATATATATATATGTAGTCGCAATTATTGTACTAAAGTATAAAGTTCAATATAGAGTTGATTGCATCATACTTAATATTAGGCAATATACTATACAACTACAGATAATTTATATTAATATAATATAAATACAGCATATTAACTGACATCACATGATAATTTCACACAATAAATGCTATTTGCGATTTGAACACAAGAAATTTATTATACTCCATTTAGAACAATAGTCTTATTTGTATTGAACACGAAATTTAAGAAATATTAATAGATAATCGGTAAAAAAGTATGGAGAATTGGTAATTAGTATTAAAAATAGCTATATTTATATAATAATAATGAAAAGATAAAAATAGTTTTCTAATGATATAACTATTAATAGAAATAAAATATTCTCTCCATCTCATTTAATTTGTCTACTCTTTCTATGTCTGTCTGTCCACATAATTCATTTTTTTTTAAATATAATTATACACTTTAATCACATTTTAAAATCATAATTTATAAATTTTTTTATTTTAATAAAACTATTTAGTCATCTTAATCTTAATCTTAATTTATAATTATTTTCACTAATACACTTCTTAATTACTTACTAATTAAACAATACCTAAAACTTCGTGCCAAAGCTAAATAGGACTATTTAGAACTATTTAGCTGAGACGAAAGAAGTAATTACCTCGGATCGAACAAAAAACGGAGTTGGTATTAAATAAAAATATATTTTAATTTCTCAGTACGAAATTTGCTGACTTACCTCAATCAATACGGTAACTATTTCTTATATACATACCATTAACAAAGTAGCGTCGGCGCTCGGAATAGACACGAACATGTCACCACCTACGTGCTCGATCCGATCATCACGGTCGGATGAAAACGACGAGACGTTGTGTGGAAGTTCGAAATTGACGGCTCGAGCGATCCACGGGCACGCCTTCACGACGGCGCGCAATGTCGTGCCGTTGCCACCGCCAACGTCGACCAACGTGTTGATCCCCTCGAATACGTCCGTGCAATCCTCGATTACGTTTGACACAATGAACTTCGCCAAGCACGCCATCCCCTCGTTGAACAACTCGCTAAAAGAGGGATTGGTCGCATTATACTTCCATAGATCCGCGCCGTTGGCTGCTTCGAAAGCACCGACGTCGCTATTCTTTGATGTCAAGAGCGCATCAAGTTGCAAGAATGGGACGACCGACTCCGGGCTACTTAAATATCGAATAATAGGGGCAAAGTTGTCTTTTAAGAGAGCGCGG